GGAAAAAATAATTACGCTTATTTCCTGGTTTTGTTTTCCTGATGATAAAACTCACCTCAGTTTCTCCAGGCTGAAGGCCAGATATTGGAGGTTTGCTATAACGTGAGTGCAATTAAGGTGGATAAAAACCAATTTTTAAATTAAAAAAATCACATTTTTATTTAGATATTGCTAGTTTTTTACTCTCTTCCCATAGTCTTAAGTTACTGAACTGGATGTTTAGTACTTGTTTCTTTAATTAGTTTCCTAATTGTTAGTAGAATTTCAGATTTTACATACTAAGATGTTTAACTTAAAATGCTCATCTGTGTTGAAACGGACAAATCCAGAGCCTCATTAACATCCTTACTGTGAGAACAACACAAACTGAAACACAAAGTTGATAAGCAAATAGCTTGCACTGTATTTACAACCAAAATCTGATTGTTATATTATATTATATTATATTTATTGTTATATTATAAATCTTCTGATATATTGAACTTCCACAAGTCCAAAAGTGGAAATACTTTGACCAGGCTGTTCTCCACCATAATATGCAGTTTGAAGCCAATAAGACATATGTTCCTAAGTTACTTAGGTGCTTTTGAAAATATCACCTGTAGATGTCTAAATGTAGGCTTATGAGCCTAACTTCGGGCCCCTATTTTTGAACATTGTTAGCTTTGTATTAAAAAGTTCACAATAACAGTGTGTGACAGGGTCCCTGCGGTGAGCCTGGACTGGGGGATTTCTGAGCTCTCCAAACCCACCAACTTGGGATGCCTCTCACTGTGATACTGATGTGAAGCTACAAACCTCTGGCAGGTACTGCACGTATACAGCCATTCAAAGGCAGGGATGCACCCAATTGAGTTACATGAACGATCTCTTAGCCTCTCATGAACCATCAGTAGAGAGGCTCCAGCAAATTCCCTCCAGTTCCACAGTCTTGCAGCCCAGATCTGTACCATTTTGTATTGGTCAGCAGCCTGACTTCTTCATAGGAAAGTGGAAATGCACTAGCCTTTGTAACCTGAGTAGATTTCCCAAGCACTTTAGACAAACTCATTGGAAGAATAATACATTAAAATAAGTTTAACAACTACAGAAAGATAGATTTTAAGTGATAAATGGTAGGCATAAAGGTCAGAGATAGTTACTTTAAGAAAATAAAAAGTAAATATGCATTCTAAATCCTAAACTTTTAATCTAGGAAAGAGTTGAACTGGACAGCTTTGCTCACCCTGACAGATGTTACAAGCAGGTTTACAGTTCCTCAATACACAGGCTGGACCCCATTTCAGCCTGGGATCTAACTCCTTCTAGTTGAAAGTCTTTCGTCCTTCAGATATTCTTCCAGGTGTAGAGTTGGGCAGGGAGAGAAGCCAAGGGATGATGTCATTGTTTCTTTTTTTTATACCTTCTCCTAGCTGCTTAAAAGTTCCCTGCTGTGATGTCGTGTGCAGGCATCCCCTATTGGTCAGGCAATCTCCATTGTCTACATGCTCTCTCTGAGAAGTCTCTGGGATGGCCACTGGGAAAGTGGATTCCCTTTTAATGGGCCATCAACACATGTCTGAAAGGCTGGGTGTGGGCATCTCCCAACCACACACAATATTTCAGTAACACATATTACAATATTTCATAACTTCACATACAGTGATAATGTATACAATCCAACAGGATATTAATGTTCAACAGATCAAGACTCTTCAAATGATACCTTACAAGGCGCACATTGTACAAAACATATAATCCTATTACAGTGGTGAATATGGGGGTTCCAGGGTGCTACTTTGAGGTAATGAGTGTCACACAGTGTTAAAGTATTGAAAGCAGTAATAACTTTTTATTAGTACTGAAGCAAATTTGTTTTGAAGTGACAAACATTTTATACCACTTAAGAGAAAATATTTAATAAAAGCTACAATTTTTTAGCCCCTGATGCTACAAACACTTGTGCACATGCTTAACTTGAAACATGAGTAGTCCCTTTGAAGTTAATACAGTAAAAGTTTTTTTTATCCAGCATGTTGGAGGAATGGGGGATGCTGGTAAGTGAAAAATTCCAGTTAACTGAGAGTGAGGGAGTTTGGGTGCAGGGCTGGGCGTTGGGGTGTGGGAGGGGATGCAGGGGTACAGGCTCTGGGAGGGAGTTTGGGTGCAGGAGGGGGGTTGGGGTGTGGGAGGGGTTTTGGGGTGCTGGATCCAGAGGCACTCACCTCAGGCGGCTCCCTGCAAACAGTGATCTGTCCTTGCTGTTCCTAGGTGGAGGCGTGGCAGGAGGCTCTGTGCACTGCCCCTTCCCCGAGCCCTGGGTCTGTGGCCAATGGGAGTTGTGGGGACGGCATCTGTGGGCAGAGGCAGTGCGCAGAGCTGCCTAGACATGCCTCCTCCTAGGAACAGCAGGGACAGGTCGCCACTTGTGGAATAGCAGGGACAATTCACCCGAGGTGAATGCCCCCGGATCCAGTATCCCGAAACCCCTCCTGCACCCCAACCCTCTACCCCGAGTCCCCTCCTGCTCCCAAACTCCCTCCCAAACTCGCACCCCCTCCTGCACCTCAACCTCCAGACCTGCACTTCTTCCCACACGCTGAACCCCTTGTGGATGTTCCTCCGCCTAGGAGCAGCAAGGACATGTTGCCACTTCCAGGGAGCCACATGGAGCCAGGTAGGGAACCTGCTGGCCCCATGCCAACTCGACTATAAACTGGAACTTTCCATGAAGATTAGACATGCCGGTTTATAGAGCTTTCTGGTTGGTACAGGGCCAGATAGCACAGCTTTTACTGTAGAACTATTCGGGTTAGTAAAATTACATACTGTTTAAGTGTTTGCAAGAATCAGAACATTAGTTCTCAGTATTCTGGTTTTTTGCTTGTAGCAGTCTTGTAAACTGCAAATAAAAGACCCTACCAGTAGATGCTTTTAAAAAAATCAGCATTCATAATTTAGTTAGTTAAAAAATAATCTAAAGTTGCAATAACAAAATATTTAAAATTAGTTTGGTAAAGCCATAATCTGATTTTAATCAATTAATTTTAAAAAATCAGATGATTTAAATGTATTTGATTTAAAGTGCTCTGTGCTGGGTGCAACTTGATTGATGATTTGAATTTTGACCAAAGAATTTGAGTCACATACATGCTTTTATTTTGCTTTCTGGAATCCTGTATTTCATTGTTTCCTTGTATTCCCCCATCTGTCCATCTATATCTGTTGTCTTGTCTCATACTTAGGTCTAGTCTACACTAGGAAATTAGGTTAGTATAACTATGTCACTTGGGTCTGGAAAATCCACACTCCTGTTTAACTACATCACTCGGCTCTAACCCCATTGACCTAGCTACTGCCTCTTGGGGAGGTGGATTATCTATGCCTACAGGAGAACCCTTCCCTTTGGTATGGATAACATCATCACTGAAGCTCTGCAGTGGCACAGCTGCAGCATTTTAAGTGTAGACAAGATCTTGGATTGTAAACTCTTTGGGGCAAGGACTATCTCTTTTTTTTAATTATTATTCTATGTTTGCACAGCACTTAACAATGGGATCCTGGTCCTGGGGCTTCTTGGCACTATGATAATACAGATAATATGTTGAACCTGATTTTTATAATCGGACGCCTTTGGAAGAAGGTGTAAATCCAATACAGTCTTGTATTTTCTTAAATCTGTGAGGGAAAAGTTTTAAATGTTACTCAATCAGCTTACTTTGTTCATTATTATGGGACAGCATCATGATCAGATGCTGTGGATTTTTATTTTAAGCTAGAGCAGTTTGTTACTCATCTGTTTTTATTGCATCTGGTCTGTCCTTCTCTTCACTCTTTGTTCCCATTTTCTCACTTTTTGCACCCATGGTACTCAGAGTTGACTGGCATTTGACAGATTTGTACATGTCAAATCTCCAACATGGCTTTCAAGTACAGTTAGCATATATGGTAGGCAGGGGGAGAAACTACAGAAATCATAGAATCATCAAAATGTAGGGCCGGAAAGGGCCTCAAAGTCATCAAGCTCAGCCTCCTGTGCTGAGGCAGGACCAAGTAAACATAGACCATCCCTGCCAAGTGTTTGCCCAACTTGTTCTGAAAAAACCTCCAATGATGGAGATTCCACAACCTCACTTGGAAGCCTATTCCAGAGTTTAGCTGTCCTTATAGTTAGAAAGTTTTTCCTAATATCTAATCTAAATCACCCTTCTTTCAGGTTAAGCCCATTACTACTTGTCCTACTTCAGGGACGTGGAGAACAATTGATCACAGTCCTCTTTATAATAGCCCTTCACTTATTTGAAGACTGTTGTCAGGCCCCCCTCAGTCTTCTTGTCTTAAGACTAAACATGTCCAGGTTTTTAATCTTTCCTCATAGGTCAAGTTTTCTAAAACTTTTATGATTTTTGTTGCTCTCCTCTGGAATCTCTCCATTTTGTCCACATCTTTCCTAAAGTATGGCTCCCAGAACTGGACACAGTATTCCTACTGATGGCTCATCAGTAATGAGTAGAACGGGACAGTTATCTCCCATGTCTTACATATGACACTCCTGTTAATACAGCCCAGAGTGATATTAGCTTTCTTCACAACTACATTACAGTGTTGACTCTCATTTAGTTCAATATTCAAATCGCCAGACTCTCCAGCTCCTGCCTCAGAGCAGTCAGCATCAGCCACATCCTGCTGTTTGTACAAATACATTTTATAGCAATTCAGAACAGTTTTATGGCTGCCTAACTTTTGATTTGTTCTTGATTATGCTTTACAAAAGTGTTTTTTTCTTTTTTTTTTTTTTATTTTCCAGAGTTACAGTTCTGGCTAAGAACTTCACTCTGCACGATGGTGTATAAGTGCCTGTTAATTTCTCAAACCCACCAGAATTTTATGCAGTTGTTTTAGGAATTATTGCTAACAGACATTCTTTTTCTTCAAACACTTCAATATAATCTTTTTCAGCAATTTACTTGCCATAGCTTCAAATTGAAATGTTCAAATCCTATTTTCTTACTGGTTTTCAGGAAGACAGGAAAACCATTTCATAATTTTATAAGCTGGAAAGACCAAAGAGCTGCTGAACTTGTAAATTCCTGGAACAGAGGTGTCATATTGAAGGTAAGGCTGCTCATTGAGTATGCTGCTTAGATACTGCTTTTGTTTTCATTTACCCAAATTAGGTGTGATAAATATTGCAAGTGCCCTAATGCATAATTTCAATAAATGACATGCTATGTAGTTTACAACTTTAAACAAAAAATAATACTGTTAGCATACAAAATGACAGAACACGAAAGCGAAGAAATTAAACACTGACATTCTATATCCACCTATAAAGCTAGTGTCCTAAACATACAGTGAAGGGTAGCCTAGAATTCCTCCTTACCTGTAAGGGGTTAAGAAGCTCAGATAACCGGGTTAGCATCTGATCAACAGGACCAATGGGGAAAGAAGATACTTTCAAATCTTGGGGGGAGGGGTTTTTTGTGGTGTATGTTTGTGTGTTTGTTTGTTTTTTGTTTTTGTTTGTTTTTTTCTCTCTTGGGACTGAAAGGGGCCAGACAGAAATCCATCTTCTCCAACCCATCCTAATCCAAGTCTCCAATATTGTAACCAGTATAGGTAAGCCAGGCAAGGCGGATTAGTTTCTTTTGTTTTGCTTGTGAATTTTCCCTGTGCTAAGTGGGAGTTTTTAACCTAAACTGGTAGAAATAAGCTTCGGAGGTCTTTCATGCAGGTCCCTACATCTGTACCCTGGCGTTCAGAGTGGGGAGGGAACCCTGACAGCTAATAAATGTGTATAACTTTGAATCTCCTTGTTATATTAATATGTCACATGTTAACATTTCTAGCAAATGATTTTTTTGGTTCTGAATTTAATTTTGTCAGTATGGTTTTTGAGATTTTTGAACTTAGAATATTCATTTTTTATTCCAATTTGTTGTTGTAAATATGTTCCAGAATGTGTTGTAAATTTGGAGCATGTGTGTTCTTAAAAACAAAGAAGATTGGTCCCCACTTTATGTGGAAAAATTGAAGTCAACCTTACCTGTAAAGCTACTACTGGCACCTTCATAATAAGATGTAAAATTCCTTGAGTTGTCAGAGATTTCCCTTCTGACACTGAGCAATTCATTTAACCTCTGTGTTTCAATACATATGTGTAAAATACAAGTAAGGCAACTAAGAACTTCTGTTCTTTTGGAATAGGCAATCCACGTTATCTCTACAATTCTTTACTTTTTGACTCGGAGTGATCGATATTTGACTGCTAGTTCATTGACTTTCACAACACAACATGTCTCTTTGAGGCTGTCCTGGATTTTACAAAACATAACTGAGGTAAGAAAGTTGTTGGGGGGAAAAGTAATACTCTTGGTACATAATAGCAATGAATAGTGACTTTTCTTGATGGTTACCTGCTCGGTTTTTGCTTTCTTTTTTTCCTTCCCTCAAAGGGAATGGAAAGAGGCTAATGATCTATTTTATCTTTTTACAAACTTCCCCTGATCCTGTAAATGTGTTCCTGTGTGAAATTACTCACATGAGGAGTCTGACCTACAAAGCATAATCATATTGTTAGTTTTGCATTTCTTTTATTTATTAATCTTAACATTATACAACATAATTTTTATTGTAATTTATTTTAAAGTGAATTGAACTTTATTGTGTAACAATGTGGCATATTTTTATTTTATCTTTGACAGTGTTACATTTCCAGTCCGCCTTATCCCAACACTTACAGATTTCCAGAAATCAGTAACATAATGGTCAAAAAACAGGGATCTCCACTTACTCAGCATTTATGTAATTTTAAAGGCTTGACTAATGGTGTATACCAGGGGTCGGCAACCTTTCAGAAGTGGTATGCCGAGTCTTCATTTATTCACTCTGATTTAAGGTTTTGCATGCCAGTAACACATTTTAACATTTTTAGAAGGTCTCTTTCTATAAGTCTTTAATATATAACTAAACTATTGTTGTATGTAAAGTAAATAAGGTTTTTAAAATGTTTAAGAAGCTTCATTTAAAATTAAATTAAAATGCAGAGCCCCCCGGACCAGTGGCCAGGACCCGGGCAGTGTGAGTGCCACTGAAAATCAGCTCTCATGCCGCCTTTGGCATGCATGCATGCCATAGGTTGCCTACCCCTGGTGTATAGTGTCAGTGCCAGATATGTAAAATTAAACATTTCTGTGTATTATATTATGCTAGCACCAAAACTTCTAAAGAACGATGAATTCACTGTGTCTCCTGTTTTTGTTCATTGACTTGGCTTTTTCCTTTCCTTTCTCTTTACTTAATTTATCTGTGTGTTTACTTTCAGATTTTTTTTTAAAAAGAGAAATGGGGAGGGTTGTCCTCTGTTTGCTTGTTTGTTTGTTTTACAACAAATAAGGAAGACTTTAAAAGTTGTTATTTTTAATCTATTACCCTGTTTGTTCTAACATAGAAATATTAGGAATGTCAAATATGGTCTTCCCTGGATTTGTTGGTGGACTTGTTGGCTCTTTCAGATATGGACTCATCAGCTTTTTTTATCCTAAAATTAAAGGAGATGGGGGTGCTGAGTCTTCAGTTAAAGTCCTGTTTTCTCTCAAGAATTCCCTAGTTACTGGAATTTTAAAAAGCAAAAAACAAAAACCAAAGTTCTGCCCAGAAAAATCATTTCCTTTTTCAATAAGTCGGTCTGTCTCATCATTCTGCAAGTTCTCTGGTTGTCCTTTGAGTCTTTCAAGAAAAATAGGATAAGTAAAATCTGAATTTCTAAGTTTTAAAGAAGGAAGTAGGGAAATAATAATTTTCAGGCTTTCTTTATATAACATAAAGAAGCAAAAATTGACAGCCCTATTTGCTTTCCTTTGGCAAGGTCATATTTTTAGGTATTCTTATTTTTCTTTTAGCATTGTCGTTTTCGTATCTACAAAACACTTTTTTTTTTTTACCACTTCTTCATATCTCCTTCCACTGCCTTCATTTCTGAACTCCACTAATAGTGATCTCAAAGTCTCCAGGTTTACACTATTAGGGTTCTTATGTGCCACTGCTAAAGAAGGCTGAGCAACTAATCTCCCATTGGCAGCAACAAGGCTTGCAAAACTGTATGTGCACAGGAGCAAAAACTGCAGTTTAGGGACAGGCCATATCTACGCTACAAAGTTTGGTCGATGCAAATTACATCAACATAAAGCCGCCACAGTTAGCATATTGCTTGTGCACATGCATAGTTGGCTTCTTGTGTTGGTGCTGTGCGTACTCATCAGGAGAGTTTGTATTGATGCACAGTGGGTGCACCATGGGTAGGTATCTCCTTGTGCAAGCTGCCACTGTCCAGCGCTGTGTTTTGGGAAGGTTTGGCAATGCATGGTGAGGAAGAATCAAGTTGCTCAGGAGTGGTTGGGAACAAGGGGTCAACTTCTCAGTGTGCAACTATCTCCATCCCATAATGTCATCTATATCCCATAATATTCACGCCTTTTTAAAAACTCCCACAAAACTGCATGGCCCTCCTTGCTGTCTGTCATTTCTGACCTGAAGGATTGAGCTTGCACAGCTCTGAGCTATTGTCATAAGTGTTGCAAACACAGGATGCACGATCCTCTATTTGCAGAGCCTTAAGAAAAATCGAATCAGTGTGGACAGATTGCTGTGTGACATAGTGAGAATCAATTCAAGGTTACCGGTGGGGTTTGTAGATCAGCTGCAGATGGTGGAGCACCATTTCTGGGCCTGAGAAATGAGCACTCATTAGTGGGATCACATCTTAATGCAGACTTGGGGTGGTGAGCAGTGACTGCAGAACTTTCGGATGCTCAAGGCCACATTCCTGGATCTGTGCTCCAAGCTTGCCTCAGCTCTCCAGCACAGGTACACCAAAATGAGAGCTGCACTGACAGTGGCAATCGTGTTGTGGAAAGTTGCAATGCTGGATTGCTACCAATGAGCGGGCAATCATTTTGGAGTTGGGAAATCACTGTGTGGGGGTGTCGTCATGCAGGGTTATAACTCGTCTCCTGCTACACAGGACTGTGACCCTACGCAATGTGCAGGACATAGTGGATGGATTGCAGCAGTGGGGTTCCTGAACTGCAATGAAGCAATGGATGGCAGTCGTATCCCAATTTTGTCACCAGACCACCTTGCCACAGAGTACATCAACAGAAAGGGCTACTTTCCTATAGTTATGCAAATACTGGTGAATCGCCAGAGATGCTTCACTAACATTAGTGTTGGCTGGTCAGGGAAGGTGCATGATGTTTGTATTTTTAAGAACACAGGACTGTTCAGAAAGCTACAAGCAGGGACTTTCTTTCCCAGCTAGTGGATTACCATTAGGAATGTTGAAATGCCAGTTGGGATCCTGTGGGACTGAGCTACTCCTTGCTTCCTTGGCTCATGACGTCATACACTGACCACCTCGGCAGCACCAAGGAAAGATTCAACTACAGATCAGCAGATGCAGAATGACAGTTGAATGCACTTTTGGTACACTGAAGGGATGCTAAAAGAAAAGGAGTACTTGTGGCACCTTAGAGACTAACCAATTTATTTGAGCATGAGCTTTCGTGAGCTACAGCTCATTTCATCGGATGCATAAAGTGGAAAGTACAGTGAGGTCTGTGTGTATATATAAAATCTCCTCACTGTACTTTCCACTTTATGCATCTGATGAAGTGAGCTGTAGCTCACGAAAGCTTATGCTCAAATAAATTGGTTAGTCTCTAAGGTGCCACAAGTACTCCTTTTCTTTTTGCGAATACAGACTAACACGGCTGCTACTCTGAAACCTGAAGGGATGCTGGCATTGTTTACTCACAAGGTTGGATCTCCGTGAAGAAAAATCTCAGTGGTTATACCTGCCTATTGTGTCCTGCATCATATTTGTGAAACAGAAGGGAAAAGTTGCTGCCAGGATGGGGGACGAGCCAGTCACAAGGGCAATTAGATGAGCTCAGCATAGAGCTATACAATTCAGGGAGGCTTTGGAAGAGCATTTTAATAGTGACCCACAGTAATGCATTGTGGTGTACTGTGCTCTATCTGGTTATGCTGCTTTGGGGCCTGTTTGGAATTGTGTGGTGCTTGGTGTACATCTGTGAATATAACGCTATCAATGTACATATTAATTTTGTGGTGCTTGCTGTACATTTGATTATTGCATTGTGTTTGTCACTGATCCTATGAGTTGTGTCACAGTCTGCAGTACCAAGTGAGTGAGTGCTTTCAGAACTAGGCACTCTGCAGCATATGTTGTGAATTAATAGATTAATTATTTTTTAAATAATATTATAATCAGTAACAAAAGCAGTGCAAAGAAAAATCTGTGTAATTTAAAAGCTATTAAGATATTTTTAATGTATTTGATCAGAACTTAATAAGGGCGAAAAGCATTCATTTCCATTTTACCTACATATACAACATCTGTGGTTTTCACAGGTCAGTGTATGTGAAGCTGTGGTTGTCCTTAATGTTCCCCCTGAGTGGAGTGGTAGGGGTAGGGATGTGGCCTCTCATGCCATGTGGAATGCTGAGGGTGGTTGTAGTGAAGTGCTGTAATGGAGTTCTCCATGGACTGCAAAGAGAGGTGAGCCTGGGACTGTTGAACTTATATGTTCCCAGGAGTCTGCAGCATCTCTGTTTGCTGCTAGAGAAGCCCCATTACGTCCTGGTGCATCTCCCTCTCCTCTTTCTGCTGGGAATCCTGGACCTTTTTCCTGTCTGCTCTTCCCTTCTCCAGGCTATCTGCAGTGTTCACCCTCCAGGTGATGCTCATGGTCTGATACAGCATTAGCTTGCAGGAGCTCATTGAACATGTCATCCCTAGTGCTCTTATTCCTCCTCCTTATCTGGTTCAGGCATTCTGTGAGTGTGGAGGGGGAACCACTCAAAGCTGAAACGGCAGGAGCTGCAGATAAAACACCGAGGTATAGTCAGTATAGTGTGACAAAGTTCCTCCTCTGCCTTGGTGGGTCCTGTGCTTATTGGCAGATTTGCTTGCCTCAGAGGTTCACGGCAGCCCTCAGTTTGGCCACTTTCATGGCTCAAATCTGCCGTTCACTCAGTTAGCCTCATCACTGGCCAGCATGGGGAAAGGAGGAAGAACAATCCCTGCAGTCTCTGCTGATCCACCTAGTGGATTGGGGAACAGGCCAGAGACCTTCCCCTCTGGTGAAACCCACAGTCCAGTTCAACTCCTCCAGTATCAAGTAGGGAGTTGAGGGAATGGGGGGAACCCAGGCCCGCCGTCTACTCCGGGTTCCAGTCCAGGGCCCTGTGGGTTACAGCTGTCTACAGTGGCTCCTGTAACAGCTGCGTAACAGCTGCAACTCCCTGGGCTACTTCTCCATGGCCTCCTCCCAACACCATCTTTATTCTCATCACAGGACCTTCCTCCTGATATCTGATAATGCTTGTACTTCTCAGTCTTCCAGTAGTACACCACCTCACTCTCAGCCTCTTGTGCTTCTTGCTCCCAGCTCCTCGCATGCACGCCACAAACTGAAGTGAGCTCCTTTTTTTAAACCCAGGTGCCCTGATTAGCCTTCCTGTCTTAATTGATTCTGGAAGCTTCTTGATTGGCTGCAGGTGTTCTAATCAGCCTGTCTGCCTTAATTGTTTCCAGAAAGTTCCTGATTGTTCTGGAACCTTCCCTGTTACCTTACCCAGGGAAAAGGGACCTACTTAACCTGGGGCTAATATATCTGCCTTCTATCACTCTCCTGTAGCCATCTGGCCTGACACTGTCACAATGGTCACAATAGTCACAGCAGAAACCAGAAGTTAAGATTCAGAATTCCCTTCCCTTGGTCCCCTACAGTTTTAAATAAGGCATGCTTATTGTCTTCTACTTCCAAGTGCTTGTGCACGGCCCCACTCTCAGCTCCAGCCATGGTGAGTATGGCTCACATGGGGTGAGGAAAATGAGGAGGGAGTTGCTCAGTTGCATGAAACTACGAGTATAGTGCAATGGCACTGAATACTGACACCATTTTCCTCAAGCGGTGGTGATTTTAGTTGATATTTCAGTCCGGTCCTGAGAGTGACAAAGGCAGAGAGCACAGCTGATGTCCTGAAGCCATGAGGGGCCCATATGCTGCCACCCAGTGTACTGCAATGGTGCTTGCTGAAGTTATCACTGACTGGCATGGGAACACATCCTATTGCAAGGAAGAAATAAGGCTGCCATCCCTAGAAACCTTTGGCAGAGGATTGCAGAGGATTACCTCCGTGAAAATTTCATCGAGATCTCTTAGGAGGATTCAAGGGATATCCCTGATGTACATAAAAAGACTGCTCCACATGGCTTAACTCTATAGCAGAATGAAAAGCAAATAACAATACTACCTCTTTTTTTGTACTGCTTCCTCTTCTTGTATGAGTAAATTAATGAAAAGCTAATAGCTAGCTATGTCCTGTTATGTTGGGGGCGTCATCACTATAAGGGGGAATATATTTACACAGTTACCCGAGGATCCTTCCCATGCATCGGGCTTGACTGCTGGGCCTGACTAGACTGTGGTGAAGTGTCAAACAGCTTGCAGCATAACTGAAGTCCCCCAGCACCCTGCCTCCCAGTCGCATGTCCCCCATCCTCCTCTTTTTTCCTCCTCTACCACCTCTTCATCCTTGCTGTTCATGGTAGGGGCTTGTGACCTGGGCTCCTTAGAGATATCCATGGTGGTCTGCTAGGTGGTAGAGGCGTCTCCGCCAAGTATGGCATGCAGCTCTTTGTAAAAGCGGCAGGTCTGTAGCTCTGAACTGTATTGATTGTTGGCCTCCTTGGGCTTTTGGTATGCCTGATGCAGTTCCTGTGCTTTCACTCGGCATTGCTGCTGGTCCCTGTCATACTCCTCCAGCATCCCCCATGCAGTCTATTTGTAGATGTTCACTTTTATACAGCTGGTCCATAGCTGTTCTTGTACAGCTTATTCTCCCCACAGACCTAAGGGATGCAATATCTCCTGTCTACTCCAAGCTGGAGTGTATCTAGAGCATGTAACTGGCATGGTCAGTTGGCAAGTTGCACACAACAATGGGGAGCTGCTAGGTATCTATGTCAAGCTGGACAATCGGGAAAAGACATTTCAAAAATACTCAGGGCTTCAGAAGGCTTCCTTGCTTTTTAGTCTCTCTGACCCCCGGGCCAGTTGTGACCAGAGCAGTCAGTGTCAGGCATTGTGGAACAGCTGCTGGAAGACTGTTAGGGTCGATGTAAATAACACAGTATCTACACTAGCATTGCATCGACCTTCGTACATCAACCATGGCTCAATGCCACTCGGGGAGGTAGTGATACTACATTACTTATACTTATGTTGTTGGGAGACAAATTTAAGTGTAGACGCATGCACAAGTAGGCTGATGCAAGGCAGCTTATGTTAACCTAACTTTGTAGTATAGACCAGGCAGCTGGAGGATAGGGGTTGGTCTGCTGTGCTTCACAGTACCATTTCTCTTCTGAAGCGCCTGGCTCTAGAGCTTCCTGTGATTTAACACCCCTTTCCCAGAAGAAATATTGTCAGTTGTTTTCTGGGGACATGCATATTATTGTCCCCCCGTTAAATATTTGGAAACAGGGAAGGGTGAGAGAGAGAGAAAATGTATTCCTTTCTTCACATCCACATTGAACACACTTTTTTTTTTTTTTTTTGGTTTTTTTGGTTTTTTTGTTTTCAGGTACAACAAGCAGCCAATGAAAACAATTGCTGCTTTGGAACAATTGACACATGGCTGTTATATAAACTCACCAAAGGTGAGTTTGGAAGCACTGGTTAAACAAAACATATTTCAAATTAGAGCAGATATTGTATGCATTCCCCTACCGTTATTCCCAAGAGCCCAACTGCCACATTAGGTGTGATGGATTTGGGGTTACTTATGAATACTGAATGTTGGTCTGGTTATTTGGATGTTTGCTGTATGAATATATTGGTTTAACTCAGGATGGGACTGTCCCAAAAAATAGGCAGAAAAGAAAAGAGGGGCTCAAGAGAGCCACCTCTCAGCAAACACTTGAATTGTTAAGGTACATTGCCAAAACTATTAGCTTTGATGGCAGGAAAAGCACCATGAAAAGAAAGGAACAAAATGGTAACCAGAATTTAAAATGGGATATCCTCTCAGGAAAAGGAGACAGTAGTTGTTTGGGGGAATACAGAGACACAGGGTTGAACAGGTAGTGTCTGAAGATATTAGGCTTGCCAAGGTTACCATCAGAGGATAGTAAGACTTTAGGTAAAATAGATATGCTTGTAGATTATTTTATTTAAAAATACATTTAATCTGAAAGCTTTGTTCCTACTGGACATGTAAACAATACTTTGGTTTTAAGAAGGCTGTCTGATTGCTGTATTCCAGTGGTCTCAGACTCCCTAAGGGAAGAACCGCAGGTGCCTGAGCTCAGTCAGACCTGCAGGGTAAGAATGGTGGATACACAGGGTACTGTAGTCCAGGGTTAAGTCTAAGAATAGGAGAATTGCATAATTCCATGCCCGGTTAGGAGGCTTGATACGTCAGGGCACACAGAGAGACCACAAAGGGGAGGGAGGCGCAGCTAGCCTGTCACAACCCATGAGCCTTGAACCCAGGTCCACAGAAGCAGCCACAATTCAGCTCTCCACTTGGCAGTCTGCTGACAACTGCTGACCAGTTCCCATGAAGCCCAGCCCCAGTTTGAAGCTCCGCCTCTGAGGTATTATTGGTGGAGTCCCAAAGCAGCCGATTGGCCTGCTGGCCCTACTTAAGACAGGAACAGGAAGCTGTCCGAAGAACTGGGATCCATCCTGCTCTGTACTGTGTGCCTTGTGCTTCCTGCTCCCCTGGCTTGACTTCCTAGTGTCCTGACTTGGCTTGGCTCTTGACCTCTGACTTGTGGTTCTGCTCTCTTACAAAAGAAGAGAAAAACAAAATTAAATAAACACATAGCCATTAAACATAATTTTTTAATGAATTTATGTTAAATTGGCAGCAGGTAAACTCTCCAATCAGCTTAATGGTTGTGCATCTAGTCTCTTTGTTTTGGAGGAGGAGGCTTAATGGCTGTGTACGCTCTTCTCTCACTGCCTGCTGAGTTAATTTCTGTAGGTTTGTGTGGTGTTTAGATGTTGCTTGTAATTATTAGAATTGGGAGCAATGGCTGTTGGGAGTCTGAAAGGACAGGAAACAGGAAGGAGGGGGAGGAGTTGAGAGGCTGGGAGAAAGCTACAGAGGGTGCAGCAGCAGCTTGGTAAAGAGATTTCCACTTTAAAAATAAGTCCTGTTGAAGCTTGTTAGTACCTTGCCTGGTTGATACAACATTTTGGTGACGAGGATGGATCTTCTGCCTCTGAACCCACCTGCACCCTTTCTGCAAAGCTCAGGTGAGCCTCCAGTTGCTTTTACTACCTGGATCCGTACGTTTGAGACTTATTTGTTTGCAATCGGTGCTACAGAGATTTCTGAAGTAAGAAAGCATGCTCTGCTAATCCACTGCCTTGGAGCAGAAGGGCAGTGTATATTTTACACTTTTTTCCCCTTGCAGATGATAAATATGAGACTGCACTCACTGCATTAAAGAATTTTTTTGTGCCAAAAGTCAATGTAGTAGCTAATCGCTACAGATTTCGCCAGTGTGAGCAGAAACCAGAGGAAACTATAATGCAGTATTTTACTTCCCTGAGGAGTCTGATTGTAATTTGTGACTTTGGGAATATGGCAGATGAGATGATTTGAGACCAGCTCATTGAGAAAACAAGCATGCTTTGTGTAAGAGAACGCTTACTTTTAGAACCACAACTTACACTAGAAAAAGCAATAACCATTGCTACTCAGATTGAGTCAGCTACAGCTGAAGCCAAAATAATGAGCATGGATACAGGAGGCACAGTCCAGGCTGTGACTCCTTTGCAGAAAAGTTCACTACCACTGCAGACACACAACTGCAAGAGGAAAACTAATGAAAAACCACCAAATCAGCAAATTCAAAATACAGTAAAAGCATGCTTTCGCTGTGGATCCCCACAATACCTTGCAAGCTACACAGAATATCCGGCAAAAGTAGCTCAGTACAATCATTGCAAAAAGATTGGGCATTTTGCTAAATTATGTCGCAGCAGCCAGTTCAGTTAACAGGTGCATGCAGTTACAATACCAGATGTTACTGTGCTGAGCATGGATAAAATCACTACTGCACATATTCCAGAACAGATAAAGTGCACTGTAAACGTTTCCGCCATACCCTCAGGCAAATCACACTCTATTCAGCTAATGTTGGACACTGGCTCAGCAGTATCTATACTACCTGATTCCATCTATTTGCATTACTTTAAAGATGTGCCTCTTACTGAACCCAAACTTCAGTTGGTATGCTATTTGAAAAACCATATTCCAGTACATGGCTGCCTGCCAGCAATAGTTACTTTTGGTGATGGCTGTGTAACTGCAGAGTTCTATATTGTCCACAAAGGCACTCCTGTCCTTGGCAGAGATTTATTGGCTGCTTTAAATCTCAGGGTAGTTAATGGACGAATTGATCTTCCTCAGCAAAGCACTCTTGTGGTACACACACCAGTTTCAGTTGGGACCCAACACCAGGTTGAGAAGAAACTCAGCTGTGCTTATGGGTTTCTGCATAAAGTTAAAATGCAGAATAATGTGATGCCTGTACGATAGAAGTTACGGCGCTTACCATTTTCAGTCAGGGAAGCTGATTCAGAGGAACTTAGAAAATGTGTTCAAAAGGACATTGACTCCTCGGAATGGGTTTCACCTATAATAGTGATGCAGAAGAAGGGTGGAGGCATTCGCCTTTGTGTGAACTTAAGGGAGCCAAATAAACCTATTGTGATTGACAGCCATCCTCTTCCTCACATAGAAGAAGTAGTTGCAGAACTCCGTGGAGCAAAGATGTTTTCTACTCTTGATTTGCAGAGCACATACCACAACGTTATATTGCATGAAGATAGCAGAGACCTCACAGCATTTATTACACATGAGGGACTATTTCTTTTTAAACATGTTCCATATGGTCTCGCATCTGCCCCAAGTGCCTTTCAAAAAATGTCACTGATTCTGAAGAATCAACATGGAGTTCAGTGCTATCTGGATGATATTATCATGTATGGAAATACTTCTGAGGAGCATGACAGTAACCTGCAGTCTGTACTAAACTGCATCAGCACAGCAAGCCTCCAGCTCAATAGGTCCAAATGCAAATTTAGACAAACTGAACTCTGCTTTCTGGGGCATACCATTTCACAGGCTGGACTAAAACCTGATCCAGATCATATCCTGGCAATTTTAAATGCTCCTCCTCCAACAGATTTGCAAACCTTACGTTCTTTCTTGGGTCTTACCTCCTGGTATATAAAATTCATTCCCAATTATGCTTCTGTCATTGAACCTTTACAAGAATTACTGCGGAGAAGTTCAACCTTAGTGTGGACAACGAATGCACAAGCTAGTTTCGAAACAGTGAAAGACTTGATTGTACTTAGTCCAGTACTTGCACTATTCAGTCCTGCATTGCCCACAATTGTAACTACTGATGCTTCTGGTTATGGACTTGGGGCTGTTCTCACACAACTGCATGAGGACAACACAGAGAGGACTGTTGCATATGCTTCAAGGACACTAAGTAATGCTGAGAGAAAATATTCTACAGTCAAAAAAGAAGCACTTGCTTGTGTCTGGGCTACTGAAAAATGTGGGGGGCCGCACGTTCAAATTGCGCACAGACCACAGCCCTTTGACGACATTGCTCACCACGAAAGGACTGGAAAGAGTAGGATGCCGTATTGCTCGATGGTCTGCAAGAGTACTCTCTTTCAATTATGAACTGGAATATAAGCCTGGAAACCAAAATATGGTGGCTGATTGCCTTTCTCGCCTGCCTTTGCCTTCACCAGATGGTCCACCGGAGGATGAGGATGTAGTGGTTGCACTTATTACAAGCACTCTCACTGCAGTTACAAGAGAACAATTTCAAGCTGCTTGTTCAGCGTGTCCAATTCAACAAAAACTACGGGAATTTCTGACAAAGAGATGGCCCAGTCACCCTAAAAACCTTGACCCAGTTTTGCTGCCTTATTTAAGAGTTGGGGATGAACTTTCTTTGCTTGATGGCTATGTTCTACAAGATACACACTGGCTCCTTGTGCCAGAAGAATTACAGTCAAAACTCATACACTTGGCACACGATACTCATCAAGGAATTGTCCGAACCAAACAATAACTACGGGATCTGTATTGGTGGCCAGGGATGGACTCTCAAACTGAAGCACTCATAAAATCCTGTGTCGCTTGCCAAATGCATGATAAGACAGCAGTGACATGCACCCCTCCATTACAGCCTGTTCGTCTTCCTGAAACTGCATGGGAAAAAGTGGTGATTGACATTGTAGGACCCTTTGATACTTCTCCAAGTGACTGCCATTACGCCATCACTTTAATAGACTATTTCAGTAAGTGGCCTGAGGTAGCATTTATAATTGCAAATCTCTTCTGCTACAGTAATTAAGTTCCTCTCTTCAGTTTTTAGCAGGGAAGGTAACCCCGCAGAACTGGTTTCAGATAATGGTATTCAATTTACTTTCTTGGAGTTTGAAACTTTTCTAGCACAGAGGAACATTTTACACAGAAGGTCATCCCTATATTACCGTCAAGCCAATGGGGAAATTGAACGGTTTAACAGAAGTTTGAAAGAGTTTGCGAACAGCTAAACTGGAAGGGCGATTGTGGATACCCTTCACTACTGATTTCTTGCAAGCATATCGGGCTACACGACATGCCACAATGCAAAGATCACCCGCAGAGTTACTGCATGGGAAACAGATGAATATTAAACTGAACGTTGCTGGATTGTTAAAGGCACGACCTGATGCCCCAAACAAGGAAGATGTGAGAAAAACAGTTGAACAGAACCAAACAAAGTCTAAGGTTTTCACAGACAAGCCGGCGGGGTGCTAAGGAACCAAAGTTTGAGTGTGGTTCCTCTGTTAGAATACGAAAACCTGGAATTTTACGCAAAGGGGACCATAAATTCACAGCTCCTCTTAAAATCATAGAGAATAAGGGACCTTACACCGATCGACTTTCTGATGGGCGGGTATGGAATGCTTCTTATCTTGCACCTGCCTATGCACCAAGAGGAGATTATGCCAACACCCAGTCTGCATTGGATGACTTCACCGTAGTACCAACACAACAAGACATTTCACTGGAACTGGGGCTTGAGAGACGGCCTGTCAGACCCAGATGACCACCTGTCTGTCTTAGAGACTATGTTATGTAGTATCTACAGTGTTTTCAGTGTAATATTTCTGCCAACAGCATAGTGTCTTGTTTCATATTTTGTTCCTGTGGTTAAAACAATAATGTTTATTTTAATTGGGAGAGTTTCTTAAGCTTGTTAGTAACTTGCCTGATTGATACAACAGTTTGTCTAGTCAGTTTAGGTTGGAAGCTCTCTTTTAAGTTGATTTGTAAACAGCCATGTACATTGATGGATTGATAGACAGACAGATATGTTTGAGCTTCTTGATTGTCTGGAATCTTCTAGATCAACTTGCAGTTCATTCATCTTTTTCCCCACTGGTGACATGAACATGTAGTAAAGTGAGTGATCAAGACATTTAGATAGGCTTGCTAACAGATGAAACATCATGAGGCAGTCAAAAAAGTAGGCTACTACCTGAGTCAGCGGATTGTTGCTGGAATATTTGATGATATATGACTTTCATTAGATAATAGGCAGTCAATTGACATAATTTGATCGGTCAGTTGACTGGCTTGCCAAGCCTAGGAATTTGTCATTCCATTTCTGGACAACTGCATGTATCAAAAATAAGGCTATTAGCTGGACACTTCAGAAGATAGAGATAGAATCCCATCCTTTACAGTGTGATGGAATTAAAATGTCTTTGGGTGTGCAGACTGGTGAATTTGGGCTGAATAGAGGCCATCAAGCTCTTTATAGTACATATATTTGCTTCAAATAACTCTCTCTGAATATCTAGGCATTTAAAACTTTATTTGTTCCTTTGTTGCTAGGTTCTGTGTATGCTACAGATTATTCAAATGCCAGTTCAACAGGGATTTTTGAACCCTTTCAGGTATGAATCTATTAACATAATGTTGTAGATTGTTCTTTGAGCGTGTTTAACTTTTTTTAATTATCTCTGTTATTTCAGATGTGTTGGAGTTCTGTTTTGAGCAAATTATTTTCAATACCGATGTCTATATATCCTCCAGTAGAGGACACAAGGTACGTATGCACACAGAATCTTAAACAAAAATATAACATCTGATAACTAAATCGTTACAAAAAGATCACAAAAATCTCTGCAGATTTTTAAAAAGTAGTATGGTAAGTGAAGCCAAAAATAATTTTAATTGTAAATATTGGTAGTTGCACATTTTTGTCTGAGTCATAGATCCAAATTGGTATTTTGTACCAGAAAAAGATAAAATAGCTTCATGATTTCTGTAAATTAAAAAAAAAAATTTAGTAACATTGAATTATGTGTATGTTGAGGACTTATTTTAAAATTTATTTTTTAATTTCTCAAAATTGTCAATTCAGTGCAGTGACTTTTTTAACATTTATTTAAGTCATAGCTTTGGTTCAGTTGATGCTGAAATATTTGGGGTGCCTATTCCAATAGTGGCCTTGGTAAGTGAAAATCTTTAATGATTATATTTTTGTACTTGAGTGAATAGTGTTATTTTTTTGTAAATATACTCTTGTGTGTCTGTCTTTATAATTGCTAGTTTATCATTGTTTGTGTCCTGTGTTTTCTGAGATTCCGTGACTATAGAATTGGTTGTGAAATTTTACTCCAAAATCTTTGCTTTCATTTAGAACAAAGGAAAAGTTTGTAACCCTTATGGTTGTGAAGCAAGCCATCCAGAGAGGGAAAATAACCTTATTGTTAGGCATCGAACTAGGACTTATGAGATCAAGGTGGTTTTCTAGGCTAGTTATTTAGGGCCTGATCCTGCAATGGGTTCTACCTAGCATAACTCCATTGGGATTCCACATGGGTGCAAAAGTGTCTGTGCTAATAGATTCCCTTGCTGCATTGGGGCTTTAATTTCTCTGTGCCTTAGCTTCCCATATGTAAAGTGTGGATAATACTTCACTACCGCCATAGGGCTGGTGAAATCCATTACTGTTTGTGAGGTAACAAACATTGTAGAAAACCTATAAGTAAATAAAATATGAGCTGAATGGAAAAATGACGTCCAATAACTGCTCCTTTTATCTCAATGGAATGTAAATGCTGAAGCCAGTTTAAATGTCAGCTTTTATAACTGTTTCACTGATTAGCTGGAGGTTTCCTTCTAAAAGTAATTTATTGTTGGAGACAGTTGTGAATATAATAGGAACAATTAAGGGTGGGTGGAGTCAGAGGTTGGGGTCAGAGAAACAGGAATTAAAGACCCCAAAACTTCAACTGCATCCGTACCCACAAAGAGGAACACAAACCACCACCTCTACCTTCTGGGATTCTGAAAGTCCCTACTGTCCCGTTTGCCAAACATTGAACCTTCCCTTGAATGCTTCTACAATACGTTTGTTGTTAATGTTGTGTATTTAAAAAAAGAAAAAAAAATGGAGTGGCATATTGAAAATTGGGGACTGTATAAAATAAATTGAAGAGCATTGAGATTTTGATTGAATTTAATATTAAAATGACTCAGGATATAATGTACTGATTGTGTTATTCATCTTAACTATTTAAAAAATGCAATTTTTGAACTTTGACTTGAAGTTGTTGCAGAATTTTCAGTTTGCTCAATGATTTAGGTCCAGTAGGCTGCTTAGTAAGTGGAGCATTGGTTCTGGTGAAATCATCTTGTATATAATTTAGATTTAAATGAGAAAACTGAAGTATAAGGTAGAAAAAAATTGAGGCTCGAAGCAATATTTCAAAAACTAGACTGGTTGCTGTGGCATAAAATAATTGCTAGTTGCCTAGAGTAGCCTGGAATTCAGAGATTTCTCCACTGTATTAAAAACGTATAATCAAAAAAGCTTTGTAACCAAGTCTAGCAACCCTCATGGTGTGGGTCTAATTTTCCCAGCAGGGGGAGATTGCTTGGAAGAGGATAAGTTTTTGTTTATAACTTATGTAGGATAAAAGATAATTATTTAGATATGCTGCGTAGAACAGGGAGCCTTGCCCGTTAGTAGGGCCCTACCAAATTCACAGCCATGAAAAACGCATCACAATTCGTGAAATCTGGTCTCTCCCTGTGAAACCTGGTCTTTTGTTTGCTTTTACCCTATACTGGACAGATTTCACAAGGGAGACCAGCGTTTCCCAAATTGGAGATTCGTGGCCCGACAGGGAGTTGCAGGGGGGTCATGGTATTGCCACCCTTACTTCTATGCTGCCTTCAGAGCTGGGTGGCTGGAGAGCATCAGCTCTTGGCTGGGCGCACAGCGCTGAAGGCAGTGTCCCGCCAGCAGCAATACCATACCATGCCACCCTTACTTCTGTACTGCTGCCTTCAGAGCTGGGCGGCCGGAGAATGGCAGCTGCTGACTGAGGGCCCAGCTCTGCAGGCAGCAGCACAGAAGTACGGGTGGCAATACAATACCATGCCATCCTTACTTCTGCACTGCGACTGGCATGGCTCTGCTTTCAGAGCTGGGCTCCTGGCCAGCAGCCACCGCTCTCCAGATGCCCAGCTCTGAAGGCAGTGCCGCCGCCAGCAGCAGCACAAAAGTAAGGGTAGCAGCACTGCAGCTCCCCCCTACAATAACCTTGTGATCCTGCCCCTTCCCCCCAACTCCTTTTTGGGTTAAGAGGATCCCTGCAATTATAACACTGTGAAATTTCAGATTTAAATAGCTGAAATCATGAAATTTACTCTTTAAAATCCTATGCCCATGAAATTGACCAAAATGGACTATGAATTTGGTAGGGCCCTACCCATTAGCTTCTCAGAACAGTTTAGAACTAGCTTATTATTTATACCAGTTCCTAACAGATATGGATGATAAGCAATATTCTATTTAAGAACACATTTACCATGGAATGTGTACCAGCCATTGTCTGAGTAGTACCTTATTCTGCTAGTAGTACTACTGAAATCAACAGTGTGAGCAAAGATAGCAGAATCTGGTCCATTATGATTAATGTAACCAGTAGAAGAGACTTGAAAATCAAAAACAAAAAGTCCATGGATAAAAAGTTTTGTATACTATTATTGTTACTTTCTTTCAGAAAGGGAAATGCGCATTCTAAAGTATGAATATGGTTGTTCTAAAGTTTGACATATATGTATTGGGTGATGGGGAGAAATTTTGTGCTTCAAAATTTAGCTGCTGTTAGTAATTTGTATGTTTGTTTGCACTGTAGGTAGCGGACCAGCAGGCAGCCATGTTTGGACAATGCTGTTTTCATGCAGGAGATGTTAAACTAACCATGGGAACGGGTATCTTTTGGGATGTTAACACTGGGAACCATCTTCATACGCCTGGGGCAGGTAAGCTTTGTCATTTAAAAATGTTTTATGGTTTTTGACCTGTTTTTTAAACGTGACTGCAAAGGGGATACAAATAGGTTTTGTGTCCATTTTTTGCTGCTTTTGGATGTATAAAGAAGAAATGAAAGGCATTTTCTTCTTCAAGGAGTGTCCCTACAGGTGCTCCACTATAGGTGTGCTTGCACCCCCTGCACCTTCGGTCTGAGATTTCTCATAGCAGTGTCTGTTCAGCCCTCACATGCATGTTACTTAGTCTTGTACCCCATGCTGTTGCTGTATAGCACTTCATGGATGGCTATCCTCAGTTCCTTCTCAGCCACCCCAGCTAATTGTCCGAGTTCAGTTTTGCCTCAACTGTGTTCTCTTAGCTTTTGTAGTTAGTGTATTATAATAGTTAGTACTTAGTAATGGTTGTATTAGTTGGCTTTTTTTAAACAAAAAGAAACAAATACATAGTTAGATATAGCTTTTTAGATATTTCCTTTCCTCCGCAAGGTTTTGCCTTTTCCAAGGGTATACCCAATTCTTCCAGATTCAAACATTGCCTGTCATGCCAGGAGGCAATCGGGTGTGCAATGGACATTCCCACTGCATCCCTTGTTTTGGGGAAACCTGTATTTCCCAAAAGTGCAACTTCTGTCTCGTTAAAATCTAGAGACAGAAAGAACAGGGAGATAAAATTTCAACTCCTTACGATAGAGAGCTTGCGTCCAGCCTCTGATCCATGCCAGGAGCGCCCCCCTATATGACAATCTCTGAGTAAGTCAGCTGCCTCTTCTGTCTCTGAACCACACTCCTCAAGGGCATCTAAGGAGAAGACCAAGTTTCCTCTCATAAGTCTTCCAAAGACCGTGCTCTGAGTTCTCCAGGTAGGGAATATACCTCAAAAAAGTTTTAAGTCATCAGCTCCCCGGCTCCCATTGGTCTCCAAGGCTGCTGTTTTCTCAGGTACTGAGAGCTCTACTAAGCGTACAGACTCTAAAATATGGGGCTCCGAAAGACCATCGGTACCGACAGGAGACCATGGCATCAAGAAGAGCTCAACCATGGTACTGAAAAAGACAGCTTGAGCTCTGTCTGGATTCTTCCTCCCACCCCCCGGAGTGTTTGAAACTTGTGGCTCCTTTGGCTACTGTTATTTTAGCTCATTCCCAGGACATGGTACCAACAGATCTCTGGACACACCTATCTGGTACCTATGTACTTTACACTTCCCTGTTACCAAGAGCCTCCAGTTCTTCTTTGAGAAGTGTCCCTTTAAGAGTCTTGGCGCGGCCAACCAGGGCACTACTACTACAAATTTCCGATTAGAAGTGCAAGGTGCCAAGACACCTAAAGTGGAGCATCCACAGGGACAACCATCTTGAAGAACCTCATTTATTGCACAAGGTGAATAACCTTCTCTATCTCTGCACACCCATCCAGTACTGATGGTGGTACCTCAAGCTCCTCCTGCTGCCCCACCATTACCGAATGACTTTAGAGGAGGAGGATTCTGACGAAGATTTTGCCTCAGCCTTCCAAATATCTATGCAAGGGTCTCCACTCCACGCCTATGAAGGTTCTGTTCCTGAGGAACCTGAACTCATTTGTGACAGATGTCCACAGCTACCATCCTGCTGGGGCAAGCACTAGTGGGTTGCGCCACCCCCCTTGGCCCTACTAGCACCCCTGGGTGGCTTATCGCAATCCATTCTCTGGGACCTCAAAGTCTACTGTTTGTAGAGATAGACAACCCTTCTCACACTCCCTTTCCAGGAGACCAGAGTCTCAGGAAGAGACCTTTGAGGAACAAGAGGCCAGGGTTGACAAGGTTTCTCCAATTGCAAACATCTCTTCATCCTCAGATGAAACTGTCATGCCACCTACACCATCCTGGCTGATGATTTTAAGCAGTTTCAGGATCTCATCAAGAATATTACGGATTCTTTACAAATCCCCTGGTGGAGATTAAAGAACTGCATGATAAGCTGCTCAATATCCTCCATACAGGCTCCTCTGCCCATATTGCCCTGTCAGTCAACAAGGCACTCCTGGATCCTGAAAAGGTCATCTGGCATATTCTGGCCTGAAGTCCTCCCATGTGCAGGAGGACAGACAAAAAATATGATGATCTTCCTAAGGAGTCAGAATTTTTATTTTCTCACCCTTCTCCTAACTCCTTGGAGGTTGAGGGGGTTAACAAACCTGGAAGGCAGCGTGTCGGTGTGTGTGTGTGTGTGTGAAAACAGCACCTCCCCTCTCTGGCCAAGGGAAGGGGGGATGTAAACAGCACCCACAGCTTACAGGAAAGGAGCACAGACCCCAGTGCTGCTCCTGCTCTAGCTGCCTTGGGTTGGCAGTGGGGCTCACAGTTTTGCCTGAAAATCTCATTGTCTTCAACTCTAAGTTGTAAGTGGGTGCCCTGCGTGTGGGGGTGGGGGTCGGGGTAGCGGTATGGTTGGGGTGGGGACAGGCGGCCCACATGTGCCTACCTTTTAGATGCAGTACAGGCACGCTACATATTTCTCTCCCCCCCTCCCTTTTTTTTTTGTCTCTGCTGCTGCCTGATTGGTTACTTCTGGTTTCATATGGTGTCCAGTTGACTGGTTGGTCCGTAACTCTGGTGTTAATATATTTGAGGTTCCATGGTACTCTGTATTTGCCCAACAACAGTGAGGTTTCTCAAATGCCTAGGCAACTTTTTCTGCCAGTTAAACACCTACTCCAGTTTGGGACCTCAATTTGGTTCTTAAATGATTTACAAGACCACCTTTGAACCTACAGCTGCCTGCTCACTCCTCCATTTATTGATGAAAATGGCATTTCTGGTTGCCATCTCATCGGCTCGATGAATGGGGGAAATAGAAGCTCTTATGGCAATACCCCCCATTCACAAAATTTTTCAGAGGCAAGGTCACATTATGATTACACCCCAAGTTTTTGCCAAAAGTACCTTCTTATTTCCATACTAATCAGCCCATTCCTCTCCCCATCTTGCACCCTAAACCTCACTGGGATAAGGAGAAGGCATTCCACATGATTGATATCAGGGGAAGCCTGGCCTTCTACCTTGACAGGACTAAATCTTTCAGGAAGACTTCCAGGTTTTGTCTCAATCACAGACAGAACAAAAGGAGCTGCAATCTCTAATCTCAAAGCATCTGCTGACATATAAGCTCATTCTACGAGATTTATTTCTACCTCCACAGCCTTTCTTAAGAACATTCCTATCAAAGGAGTATGTAAAGTCTCAACTTGTGCTTCTCTGTATGCATTTGTTGAATGCTATGCAATAATTTGAGATTCTGCTTTCGAGAATGTGTTCGGTTCAGCTGTACTTTCTACCATACTGAACTAGACTCCAAAGCCCCCTCCTCCTTAAAGGAGAGCTGCTTGATTGTCACCTAGAATGGACCACCCACAAGGACTTGAAGAAGAAGAAGAAATTGTTACCCTGTGCAGTAAGTGTATTCCACTACCAACCCTCCATCCCCTCTGCTTCGGAGTTCCTTGTCATGGGGCTTCACAGTAGAGAAGGAACTGAGGACAGTTATCCATCACGCACAATACTATATAGCAATGGCATGGAGCACAAGGCTGAGTAACACGCATGCGTGGTCTGAATGGACACTGCTATGAGACCTCTCCGATCAAAAGCGCAAGGGGGCACAAGCGCACCTAGAATTGAGCACCCGAAGGACCACAGTTAGTTCACAGGGTGAGTAACCATTTCTTCAGTATAGAAATGTGAGGGGCTTTAATTAAAAAATCAGATTTTCTCTACACTGGAAGACACTCTGGACATCCGATGAGCTAGTAAATTTGACATCACTGATACTAAGGAAATGACATTTGAAGTAGGATTTTTCAAAGGCATCTAAGGGAGTTAGGGCCTAACTGCCATTGAATTTTAGTTGAATTTCAATAGGAGTGTCATGGGCTGTTTACCTCACACATCCTGTGAAAGGGTTAATATGGGCCAGTGAGGCCAGTTAACCTTCTAGCTTGCACCTGAAGGGTGGGCTAAGACTAATTAGAAATAAAGTCCAGCTTGGGAAGAGGAAGGCTTGTTTCCATAAAAAAAAATGGGTGAGACCAGTTGGTGGAAGGAAACCCAGAGGAGAAGGAGTTGGGGAATTCCCCATCTCTGAGAAGCAGCCTGAAGGATAAGTGAGAAGGAAAAAGAGAAGACGACCAGACAAGCTTCTCCAGGGACAAGTTGGTGGCCAAGCTGGAGCTTCCCTGAACAAGGGGCCAGCCCCTGGATTGGGGAGTGGATTGAGGCACAGAAGTATAGTAGCCTAAAGCAGTGGAAACATGCATGCTTTAAAGTGGCTGCCAACTGAGCCGAGCTGGGCTGCAGGTTTGCTTTTTGTATGCATTACTTTAGGACTTTGGTAAAGGACTCTGTGGCCCCAGAAAGGACAGGACTCTGTCTGATCAGTGGGCTAGGACACCGCTATGGCCAGAGTAGGCCAAAGGACAGTGTGTGTGTGGGGGGTGTTGAGTCTGCAATTTGCCATAGGCAGTTGTCACCTAACTTCCTCAGCTTCTTTGAAAATTCCAGATTAATTGTGATGGAATGTAATTTATAATCAAACTTTTAAAGGAGAAAGCATAGGTATTGACTGGCATAGAGGGAGAGTGTGGGAGGTAAAGCTGGTCTGTTCATGAATTCACTCCCATTTCCTAGGAAACATTTCAAGTGGATGGAATGGACTATGGAGTGCAGATGTAGTAATAACTTTACAGAAATATTTTCAGGAATAATCTACATGACTAATGGTTTATATATACTGTAAAACAAATATGTGGAGATATAGGGTACTTGAATCTGTGAGATCTTAAAATATTTTTTTGGAATCCATCAGCTAAATAAATCAGATTCTTCACCCTTTCATATAAGAATAAATGTTGTACCCTACTGTTTTGATCTTGTTTCATGTATTAATCCTTTTGCATCCAAGGAAATATGCAGTGATTTGTTATACTACCTCAGAATAAGGGTCTCCACATTTTTTAAGCTTTTCCTTCCAGTTTAACAAATTTTTTGCAGTCCACTTGTCCAATACTGCTAACAGTAACCACAGAGAGGTGAAATTAACCATCGCACCAGTTACTAAAAGCAAAATGATAAAGTCCAAAATTTTAACTACCTTCTCATTTCAGTTATAGATGTGTCTTGTCTTGCTTCTGAAAGAAGCTGAATTGGGGGAAATATAGGCTTAAGACATTGTTGGTCAAAGATGATTGAATGCGCTTAATTTTTATTGTCACGACCAAAGAGAAGCCTGACTAGCAGAGATAAAAAGATGAAAATGAGACTGATGAAGTTTCTAAACTAATAACTTTAGAAACTAAAAGTTTCTAAACTAAACATTCCTCCTTCAGTGAAAGTCGGTTACAGAGGCTTGTCATACAAGAGGTCTCTCAGTTTAACTTGCAGTGCTGAGTCAACAGCATAGTGGATGAAGGGGTTGGTGATCCCTGTTGTGAGTCATCAGGAAAGTATTTCCTAAACTGGGTTTGAAATTAATATCTCAGATGCTGATTTATGAGTTTCTGGTGGTTCTCAGCCTGCTAGTTCCTTCTCTTAATGAAGTCTGAAGCAAGAAATATTGACTCCCCAGTTTCTCCTTTGTATTCAGGAAGACCAGTTTCCAAATATTTTGGTGAATGCTTCTACCTTGTTATACTGTGCATAGACAGAACATTCATATTCTGTCCCCGGAGAAGAATTTTTCAGCTCAATTAAGCATCCAGAAATGTCGGCAAAATACATTGTTTGCCATCTGCCATGAATTACTGAATCCATCAGCAAGGGGAGATTGTTGATAATTCTGAACCCCTGCTCTTAATTTGAAAAGCTGAGTGCTGCTTTACTTCCTGAGAATTGCCTGAGTTCAGTGTGAAATAGTTGCTGGTGGAAGAATCATGATCCAAGGAGGAGTGCAAAAAGTAGAAAATTCACCGGATAATCTTTGATGTTCAGTACTTAACAGCTTCATGAAAGATATGATGAAGATTTTCAGACACCTTCTTAACAGCAGGAGCTTGGCTATATGTGAAATAGTGGAATCATTAGGTGCAGTGTTTTGGATTTGTGCGATCAGGATGCAGTTGTCACCTGTTGTTGGATTGGCTTCATTTGTGGAGATTATAATGTTGTAAAAGTGATTGTAATAATTCCCACTCCATGTGCAAATCTTTGACTGTCCCCTGAGAAAAGAACAGGAGTACTTGTGGCACCTTAGAGACTAACTAATTTATTAGAGCATAAGCTTTCGTCAGCTATAGCTCACTTCATCACTATGCGTCGGGGGAGGGATAGCTCAGTGGTTTGAGCATTGGCCTGCTAAACCCAGGGTTGTGAGTTCAATCCTTGAGGGGGCCATTTGGGATCTGGGGCAAAAATTTGGGATGGGTCCTGCTTTGAGCAGGGGGTTGGACTAGATGACCTCCTGAGGTCCCTTCCAATCCTGATATTCTATGATTTCTGTGACTAACACGGCTACTACTCTGAAACCTGTCCCCTGAGTTGTCTCAAATACTTCACTTGATGTGTGTTCTGGCACAGCTTTACAAAAGTGTGAGTCTTTTTCAACTGAACAGTCACTCAGCCATCTCACGAGTAAAAGCTACGCAATACCAGAGACACCAGGTGAGTTGCTAAGTAGACCCATTCCCTTAATTTTGAAAGCAGCTGCTCTCTGACATCCTCAGTTGTATCATTAATAGGGTGACCAGATGTCCTGATTTTATAGGGACAGTCCCTATGTTTGGGGTTTTGTCTTATATAGGTGCCTATTACCCTCCCACTCACCCGCAGTCCCGATTTTTCCCACTTGCTATCTGGTCACCCTAATCACTAATAAAGTGTGAAACAGTGTAGTTCGACAAAGGCACTGTTTGCAGTTCGGTGATTTGCTTGAAGACTTTTAACATTTGAAACCATGTCTCTTGAAAAGAAAAAAATGAGGTTCCGTGTAATTGGTTGTGCCTTATACTCTGCACAGCTTGTATAGATATCAAATGAGAGACATTTGTGTTGAACATTACTAGTTTAATTAATCAAGACTTGTTAATGTTTTTTCAAGGCTTTAAGCTTTCTCTGAAAAAAAAATGCTCAGTTTATCTTCATGTATGATTAGTTTCCAAATGTCACAACAGCTTTGAAGGCTTCATACTTTCAGCAGGCAGCACTTGGAAACACATTACCCAGTATAGTTGCAAATTAACTGATGTAAAACCAGGCCATATTTGCCCTTGTATTTCTGCATTTTCTTTATTCTTTTTGAGCTGTTATTAGCACAAGTGTGTCCTTTTCACAAAATGATCTGTTTTTCCTGAATCACTCCTTAGCTAGACATGAACTCCAACACAGACTGAATTATCATGTCATGTGTACATAAATACATGCTGTTCGTTTTATACACTTACACATACTTTAAAATGGGATTTGTGTTGTTTTGTATAAGGCAAATCACACAGTACAGTACCACAGGTGGCTTGCAAGAGCCATTGTGGGCACAGGGAGGCCAAATTATGAAACTTTCTCTTACATAGAATCATATACTGAAAAATGAATTTTCAGAAATACTTTTTATCGCTATTTGAGTACCTTCCGCGAATGAGACTGTTTGTTTTTTTCTCAGTTGGGACTGCTGTTTTATGTTTCAGTATATCTGTATATTTCCCACTTGGAGGCTCAAGCCTCCTGATTTATATTAGGATTAGGAATATTCAGATCCCTTTAGAAACCATTGTGTAAAGTAACTTCTGTAATTTAAGAAAAGCATGTGTACATGTTAAATAGCTTTAACTGTGTGTTTGTATGTTTTGAATTGTAGAATTTAACAGCTTTAAGACTTCTTATTGTTTCTAATAAGGATCTGAATTTTTTAAAATCCTAAACTGCTTCATGAAGCTCTCAAAATAACTATTTTTAGTAGGGTTTTTTTATTCTTTCAGTGACTTTTTTTTTGTAATTAGATATAGTGACTCTAAATTGATTTTAGGTTGCATTGCATTTCTCCTTTATTAAAAATAAACTATTATTCATTTCTGGTTTACTTTTGCTAGTAATTTTTTGTGGAATATTTTCTTCGAAGACCCCACAAAATGTTCAAGCTGTAGCACTGACATTTAAGTTGAATTTTGTAAAGGAAGTGGACAAAAGTTGCAGCTACAATTTAAGGATTTTTTGTTAGTTGTGTTTTATTTAATCTCTCTGGAAGCAGTTTGTGGACTTGACTACTTTTCTTTTATTGTGTGTGTGTGTGTGTGTGTGTGTGTGTGTGCATACGTGCAAAATTTTAAGGTCTGTATCCAGTGGTTGGTTGGAAGATTGGGAAAGAGGTGGTCTTCTTAGCTGAAGGCAATGCATCAGATGCTGGCTCTACCATAAAATGGGCTAAGGAGTTAGGTAAGTGGCTTTTCAATTGTATAATGCTATAAAACAATTAACCCTGTAAGATGCTTCTTTATAGGGTCCTCTAGCTGGCTCCTGTTCATAGTATTAGGCTTCCATTTGTTCTCTTTAATAGATAAGTTGTCTAGTTTCTCCATTATGGAGCCTTGAAATTGACAAGAAAGCCAGGCTATCATTGGGGTAGGTGTGGGGCGCCAGCTAGAGCCCGACTGCCCCTGGGCTCCCTGCTCCCAGCCAGGCTGCAACAATCCAATCCCCACGGAGAACCTGGCTGCTGCTTGGAGGCCCCAGCTCCCTGTGGGGAGTCCGGCTGCTGCCCTAACATTGGGACTCTCAGCCCCCCACACTGCCCCTCTTAACTCAGTGGAAGCACTCCTGGTGAAGACAGAAGTGTGGACATCAACCACCATAGTAATTACTGCAGTGGTTGTAAGTTGACATAGCATAGGTCGACTTAAGTTTCTAGTGTAGACATGCCCATAGACTTCCAAATAGCCTAGTGGTTAGTAATCTGTACTACCATAGAAGAGACTTCTGTTCAGTTCCTGATTGTAGGGCCTGATCCTCAAGTCTTAGCCAAGCTGTGCTTGGTTTGGGACGTGAGGTTCGGGGAGCAAGGAGAAGAGGTTCTAAGCCACATTTCCACTCCATCTGCTTAGTCTCTTTTGTAACTTGGTGTAGCCCTAAGGACTATTATCCCAACTGGGAATTATCAATTCACAGGGCACCCCAGCCATACCCCTTCTTCCCATGATGTCATCTGTGCTGGGTGATTGGGAATGGGTGACATGAAGCTTCAAGGCACTTAGTAATTCCCTCCCACCAGTGGAATCCCCAGCTGTCCAGTTAAGGCTTCTTTCTGGTTGCTTGGCACTGTCTGAGCACCACAGTGTAGCTAGAACAGGGTGCCAAGGATCTGGCCTGTAGTCTTGTTGGATCTTGGCTGGCAGTTACAGCTTATGGGGGAAGACATCCTTTTATATTTCTCAGCATCACCTCCAGTTTACTTAGAGTAGCATTATTAGCTTCCACAAGTCCGGTATATATTACCCTGATGAGAGGGAATTATCCTTGATACAAGATTTTGACAGTTTAATGGGCTATAGCGTGGTACGGATATTTGAAGATGGTTGTGGATTTGGTTTCTTGATCCTGGATAGTTCTCTTTCATGGGGCTGATGGAATTGAAATTCAGAAAGATTTTTTTTTTCTTAATATGTGCCAGGTGAAATATTTAATTTAGGAATCTTGTCTATAATAATTTATTAAGAAAAGTAAAAGTAAATAATTTAGTCAGTTGACTTTTTTGTGTGGACCCCTACAGATCTTTTCACCAGTGTAGACGAGACATCAAGAATGGCACGAAATGTGATTGATTCTGAAGGAGTTTGTTTTGTTCCATCTTTTAGTGGTTTGCAGGTAAAAATATCATCCTTAATAATATGACACAAATGATTTTTTGTGTCTTGCTTAAACATTAATATCTGTCAATTTGCCCATTATCATGGTATCTATTTTTTTCTATTCAGGTTCTTGTTCCATGCCCATCACGGTGGTATCTGAGGGCCTCTGTGGTATCTGAACATCTAAAAACGTTAATGAATGTATCCTCAAAAAAAACACGTGAGGTAGGGAAATATTATTCCCATTTTACAGATGGGGAACTACAGTACAGACAGATTAAGTGATTTGCCTAGTGTCACAAGGACAGAACCCAGATCTCTTGCATTTCAGTCCAGTGCCTTGACCACCAGCTTATTCTTTCAAAGAACTGAGCTGGACTCAAAGTATTGGTTTTATGTCATTTTTTTACAGCCACGATTCAAGAAAGCATTAACTAAGTGCTTAAGAACTTCCCTGAATAAGGTTGCTTTCCCGAATTGGGGCCTTAAAGCATAGCACTAATGACTGTTAACCAACTATATGGTGGTATGTGGATTTAATTTTTAACTGTACATTTGTGTTTTCTTGTAGTTCTCAGTATGCACAACTCAATCTTGTTCAAATATACTAGAGGGTTGCTTCGTAGGCTGAGCTCATTGTACACACCAGGGGCTTTTAACATTCTGCAGTTTCTCCCACAAGCTCCCTGTGCACCACCCTCTTCTCTCCCTGTATTTCAGGTACTCCCTGCAACTCCCCCTTTCCTCATGCCAGGGACTCTCTGTATTCCCCCCCCTTTGCCAGGGTCCTCCTTTCTCCTTCCATGCTCCTGTCCCCTCATACCATTATCCCCATTCTTCCCCTCCTGCAAGGTGCTCTGCATATCTCCCTCCTTTAGGGGTTCTGTGTAAACCCCCCCTCACCCTAGTTCTCCTTTCCCTTACATGCCAGGGTCTCTATATCTTCATTCATACCAAGAGCTGTGTGTGTCACTCCCTCCATGCCAGAGACTCTGTATGCCCTCCCATGTCCTCTTTCCCACTCTCAATTCTTATTTCTTTTTGTTCGTTTGTTTGTTTGGAGGATAAGCTATACAGGGTGTCAGCATTTTAAATTGCATTGGGAGGATGGGCAGAGCTGTAGTGAGGGGTTATTTGCAGTAATGCTGTAGCTGTGTTTGTCCCAGAATGTGCGAGAGACAAGATGGGTGAGATAATATCTTTTATTGAACCAACTTCTGTCGGTGGAAGGGACAAGCTTTTAAGCTTCACAGAGCTTTTTATCAAGTCTGGGGAAGGTAACCACAGTGTTCAAGCTAAATGCAAGGTGGGGCAGATTGTTAAGCAAAAGGGGTCCCACATGTTATAGGAGACCACTTAATTTTAAGTAGGCAATTAACACCTCTGCAGTCCTGGGACCAAGGAGGGGGTAGAAGGCAGCAGAGTGTAAAAACCAGTGTCTCAGTTAAATCCATGGTTTTTAGTGACCAGCAGAATTATGGATTTAAGTTCAGGCTCATCTTCTGAAGATGTTGTCATTTTGACAATGAGGACTGATAGGTCAGATACAGAGTGATCACTTTGTGTAAAATGTTCATCCACTGGTGATAGGGTGAATGTCTGTGTATGAGTTCATTTGAGAGTATAGTGATCATGTGGATGAAAACAGATAGTTGTTGTTGGGGCATTTGGTGTAGTAGATGGGGTACACCACATGTTGTGATAGACATGTATAGGACCATGGATCTTGGAAGGTATGTTGCGGAGGGTATTGTTCATTGTAGCAGTGGAGATAAGTCTGTATGTTTTGCATCTGTTGTTCTGGCAGGACCTGGTGCCACTTTGCGTTGGTGTGTCCTGGTCAATGGGGAGCTTGCTTCTGATGAGCTTGGCGAGATTGGGCGGTTGTTTGAAGGCCAGAAGAGGGAATTTAGGAAGGCTTTCTTTTGAGATGTGGTCCCCTTCGAGTATGGGTTGTAATTGTTTTATGATATCCTGTATGAGTTCCAATGTGTAGTGGTAGGTGACGAGTAGGGCTGTGCGGTAGCTGGGATTTTTTTTCTTTATTGAAGCAGTATCTCTCTGGGTGTTTGGGTGGCCCATTCCATGATGCAATCTGCTTCGTTGGTGGAATGTTCTTTTTTGGTAAGGTGTGTATCTTGGGCTTTATCCTTGGAGCATATTTTGTGGTATCTGAGTGTGTGGCTATAGATAACAGATTTTTTTGTTATGTCTGGCGTGGTTACTGGATCTGTGAAGGTAAGTGTGGTGGTCTGTGGGCTTCTTCTATATAGTTGTCGGTAACATTCTATTGTTGCGGCTGATCATGGTGTGCAGGAAGTTGATGTTGGTGTTGGGAGTGTTCTAGAGAGAATTTGATGGATACGTGATGGTTGTTGAAGTTAGGGTATTGTTAGGCTGGAAGGTGCGTCTCCCATTTTCCCCTTGCAGTTTTCCAGTTTCCATCACAACCAGTAGGGTTCTGACCATTGAGGCTTAAAACATTCTCTGACATTTTGGGATAGATTGGGTGTAGCATTCAAAAGTTGTCATGTTGCATCCAAAGAGAAATGCCATCAAGTTGAGCATAGAACCTCGCTTCGCTCTGCCAAAAATCACCTCTTTTTCCTTGGGTGGATTTGATTTAAATCAAATTCATTTAAATCGTGATTTAAATCACCAGTCAGGAAGACTATTTAATCATGGATTTCTACATAATAGTGCGTTCTTGTTGCTTGCTATAACCTTAATACGTATTCTTCACAACTCAGAGATAGATGTAGGTTTCATTTTTAGAAGGTACACGCTATACATTTTTTAAGTGATTTATTTTGAAAACTTTTCAGATTAGTTTTATAGCTATATCAGAAAATGAATTATTGTTTGGTTATTTCATTTACCAAAGGTAATTGAAGTAGATAGTTCACCTCCCAATGACTTCATAAATATCTCCAGTTCAACAGGTTAATCACTAATATTTGGAGGATATTCTTGCCATGCTGTATTAGGAGGAGAACGTCACCAGACAGACATTTACATTGTTTTATTTAACTAAAACAACAACATTATGTATTCTGGATTCTTTTCTTCAACAGCAAACATATAATATTTTAACAAAACAAGCGTATGAATTTTTGAATGTAGTTAACTCTCTTGTGGGAGAGTTAGCTTGGTTCCTCCCACTTTTTTCAGACTAGCTGCTGCAAAGTGATTGTTACGGAAGTATTTTGCAATTTCAACTACATTAGCCTTTATTTCTGGAACTCTGAAGTTTTTGGCTAGGAGGTGCATCAAATGAGCACTGCAACCATATGTTGTTAGCTTGGGACACTCTTCACTCTCTTCTAAATAATTTCTTCTCATCTTGGATACATTTGCAGCATTGTCTGTGACCAACCTGCGTACTAGACATTTGAATTTTTTTTCACAGTTTGTTATAGCTTTTACTGCTACTTCTTGTAAGTATTCTGCTGTGTATGCATTTCCTGATGTATCAATTGTTTCTGTAAGGAAAACATTCCCTTCTTCGTTGTCACACAAGCACATACAACAGGATCATTGTGGACATTGCTCCACCCATCAGGTTAACAATTTCACCCTCTCGACCTTTTGCACAGTGCTCAATTTCTCTTTCATACACTTTATCCTGCAATTTGCCTGCGACATCTGCTCTGTTGGGTGGACTGTATCCTGGTCTTAATGACTGAACCATGTTAATGAAGTGTGGGTTCTCAATCATATGGAAAGGAGAGTTTGTTGCATAAACAAACAGGGCAATTTTTTCATCAGTTACCTCTTTTTGTAATCTGGTTTTTGTAATCTGCTGGTTCTTATCACAAACTTATCTATGGTTGTTTCTGGATGATGGAGTTTTTTTTTTCTTTTTGCTACAGGTGATATACTGTGGCTATGTGACATGCATGATGTGACTGAAACACTATCATTGGCAGATAACTCTGAAACTATAGAAAATGATGGTGATTTTGAAGGTAGATAGTCTTCAGAATCCTGTATGTTGAGGATGGATTCTCCTAAACAAAATAAGTAAATGCAGTTATTTAATTATTATTACCATACTGCTCATTTAATATTACTCATTGCATTCACTGACACGCAGTACTACTTTAATGGTGAAATTGTAAAAGGAAGATCTGCCTATTTCATCTATTTATTTTTTATCACAACTGCATCTAAAATGATAGTACCATAGAGTAACAACTGTTTTTTGCTCAAACATGAGAATTCAAGAATAGTCCAGAAGGAAGACAGGCAGTCCTGAAGAAAGAAGTATGAAATAAAAAAGTTTACCAACCTGCAGATCCTGCATATTCAGACATGTTCCTTTCATCATCTTCAATGCAGCTTCCTCCTGAGAAGGAACACTCTCATGATGTTGTTTCATTTGGACAACCGGGCCTTGCATTTCTTTGTTGCACTGCTTTCATTTTGCATGCATGCCTGTTTTACCCACAGGTAGAGGAACTTTATTAAAATATTTCCAAACTGAATCTCTTTTACAGCCTGCTGCCATTATAGGTTTTCCCTTCTAGTGTGAGAATGATATGGTAGATCTCAAGTCAATGAAGTCTACACTCAGAAAGACCTCAAGACTTCTGGAATATGCTGCTCAAACCATTTCACTTTTGTTTCTACTGTCTGTCCCTCCCTTCTCACATTTATCTCCAGATGTCGTCTCCTCGTCCAGATCTATTCCACCCCCAACAATCTTCTATTCATTGAACTTTTTGAAACTTTTCACTTTTAGAGAGACATAAGGGATTAACTCTGAACACAAATTTGCAGAGGGACAATAGGGTTGAGGTCTGTTATTTCTCTCCTCTATATATTTATTTATTTAAAAACATTTTTGCTGTTAACAAGCATGTTATCACTGGAGATACATCCACAGTTTGAGAACTGCAAAACTAAGCATCTCTGATAGTGCTCAGTCTAGAAGATAGAGTCCCATCGGGTAGATAGAAAGATTAATCTAAAAATCTATATAGAAGCCCCTGGAACCCCATAAGATTGGGGTCCCTAATCCATGAACTATTGGAACTCATTTACAAAACTTTTCTTAAGATTACATAAATATATTGTCTCATACTATAGAATTAGAATTTATAATCCCTATTCTATGATGAGATATCTTTGAGCTATAATGTATTTTATTTAAAACTATCTTTAGATAGGTTTTTTCCTCAAAAAGCATTTTACCAAATAATCCAATTTAAATAAAAAAAATTGATTTTTTTTTAAATCACTGATTTTTACCCACCCTGGTTTTTCCCCATTCCCCCAAACTGTCTAGTGTAACTTTTGGTTGTTAGTTTAAGATACATGGTATCTGTGAAGGTTTTGCCACTTTTCTACCTTAGGTCCAAAAGTACAGTACTTAGTTTTGACAGGTGTATGCCAGTCTGCCCACTCTATTATTCCCACAGTCTGTTTTTTAAAAAGCAGAATCTCAACCTCTTTATCATACCCCATCTCTAAAGCACTAATGGGAAAAGGAAAGAAAGGGGCTCTTTGTTTCCACAAGAGAGTCCACAAAATCTTGATCAGTAGATTTATTTTGAGAAGTAGGCTGCTTAGTTAATCTAAGCTGCCTTCATTTGGTGGCTTTTTTGATTTCCTTCCATTTTGGGTAAAATAATATGGATTCTGACTAAGTTTTTGTAATTGCAGACAGAAATTTTGAGGGGGACATAAACTGAATCTTTTCTGAAATTTTAGGCCTGTAATGCTCAAGTACTAGAGATGTTGGGAGTGCTTGATTACACAACATGCAACTTTTGTTCCTTGCTGGAGAAGACCAGCGGGGAGATACTAGGTCCGTTGCTGGTGAAGATTGTCAATGCCTACATTAGAGACCTCATGGTACCAGCTTTTCTTAAGGAAGCTGTTATAATGTAGGTTTTGATCAGAAAATCCACAGTTGACACTGACAATTGGCTACTATCACATCTTCAATTCTTTGTCAAAGTTGTAGAGAAGGCTGGGATGAGATGGTTCTCAGAGGATCTAAATACCTTAAGTCTCCCTTGATGATCTAGATACAGGCTTGGGTATGGGATAGAAATGGCACTGGCAGCATGTAGATTTCTTTTTATCAATGGGTGAAGATCTGGTGTGTGTTGATATTGTTGGATATAGTGGGTGTTTTCAATACTGTTCATTGTGGAGTGTTGATAGCTTGACTGCAGCAGAAGTGGATACTGCTGCTCTTGGGTGTCTCCATTCTTTCCTGGCTGAATAGTCGCAGAGGGTGTTGTGGGGCAGCTGATTCTCCTCCTTAAGGATCCTGTCATGTCGATTTCCACAAGATTTGTCTTCCCAAACTGTTCAATATGGGTAGGGGCTTGTTAGTGAGGAATTATGGGGCAGTCATGTTTTCAGTACTCTGCTGCCCCACTTTATATCTTTGTCCTTTCTGACCCAGTCAGTGCAATTGTTCCACCTAGCCCAATGTTGTTGGGGCATAAATTAGATCTAGTTGGCTGAAATTCAGCCCAATTAAGACTGGAGTGATACTAATAAGTATGGGGAGGAGCTACAAGATTAGACACGAAGATATCACTTCCTCCTTTAGTAGTGCAGGTGGGCATGCCATTTGTGACTTGGGTTCACAGTCTCATGGTATTGATTGGATCCTCAGTTGCTACTGGATTATCATATCATTGGTGCCCCAGAATACTTTTTCCATCTACATTTGGTTTGTGAGGTTGCAGCTGTTTCTTTTGGATGCAGACCTTATTACCATGATTCATGCCTTTGTCACACAAAGATGGGTTTAGTTAAGTGTGTTCTGTGTGGAGCTTCAGCTCAAATCAGCCTGGAAACTCAGGTGTTGAAGGCTATAGCTTCTGAAGGTGGTATTTATGGGAGCACATGACACTAGAATTCTATAATCTGCACTGGTTTCCTGTTGGAGTGGAGTTTAACTTGCTGTTTCTGACCTATAAAGCCCTCAGTGGCTTAGGACTTTCTACCTGGGACACTAACTCCCTCCCCATGCCTATTGCTTCATTTTTGTCAGTAGAGACATTTGAATTGGATCTCTCTCAATTTAACACAGGTTGCTGGTACTGAAGTGTTCTCTATGAGGGTCCCTAAGCTATTTTCTCATTTTGTCTGGAATTGTGTGGTTCTGCTGAGATTCAGAGCATGTTACGTAGGACACCTATTTTACTCAGGCTTTTGAAGAGAGAGAGAGACTTGATGGAGGTTGAGATTTGTATGGAAATTTTTGTGGGAGTTGTGTTGCAGGCTGTTGGTGGGGTCAGCTTAGTTTAGATGTCTTTTGACACTTGTGTAAATCAAAAGAAATTACTAGTTGTTACTTAAGATGCCAAAAAGGGTAGTACAGAATGGCCTGCATGCAGATACAGTTAATGTGATCAGAGCTGATGTCCTGCTTTGGGCAAGTCTACATTAAAATGCTCCATCCAGCTGCACCGCTGTTGCTCTTTAATGAAGACGCTGTACGCAAATGGGAGAGAGCTCTCCTGTCGGCATAGTTAATCCACCTCCTGAGAAGCAGTAGCTATGTCAGCAAGAGAAGCTCTCCTGTCAGCATAGCACTGTCTATATGGGGGGTGAGGTCAGTATGACTATGTTGCTCAGGGGTGTGGATTTCCCCCCACCTCCTCCCTGAGTGACATAGTTATACCGAATATACATCTGTAGAGTAGACCAGACCTTTATATTTACCCACTTGCAAAGCTTAAAGAGATGCTGTCAGATAGTTTAAGGCCTAAATGTTACATGCCTTAAAAAATTCACTAATAATGTTTTTTTGAGGAACCTTGTCTTCCTATTCTTTGCAATTAATACCATATAAATATCTAAAATAATTTAGGTAGGAGCTTTCATCCCAACATTTTACAAATTTCTTAATCAACTTGTGTGAAAACACAGAATTTTTTGCAATTTCCCATTCCCCCCGCAAAATTACCCCTGCCCAAGGCCCTCTCATCTTGAGAGGACTAGAAATGGGAACTCCATACCATTGAATAAAAGATCTCTTAGGATCCAGAACTCCCAGCACCAGAAGGGCTTGAGATATCAAACTTCAAAGTTGTGACATTTTTCACTGTAGAAATGCTAGTTTAGGCAATTTTTTAGAGACTTTTTTATGGCTCCTTACAAGCCTTGTACAGTTGGACTTGTGACTTTACAGAAAGAAATGAATTATTTTAACAACTCTTAAATGTTTCTAAAACAGCTATTCTGTAATATGTGACACATACAGAATACATGATGATACAGGTTGATCATCCCTTAATCAGGATGACTGAGAAACTTACTCAGGCATTGCTATTTTTGAGTAACACAGCCATCACAACATTCTTCTAAACAACTTTTTATACTACATCATACAATCATAAATTCTTTATATCTATACAGTGTGTATGTTTGGGGGGTGGAGTTGGGGGGGAAGAGGGTGAAATACTGAATAGATTTATGGTATGAAGTAGGCACCTGAAGTGGAGTAAGCATTTCTGGAGTTCAACCATGACACATCTACCCTGCTGTACAGGTTAGCTCCAACTATCTTCCAGGAATCTAAATTTGATTGCTTGGTTAGGTTTCATAGACATCAGGATAGCAGGGGTTGGACATGTTATGGAGGCAATATGTTCATTTCCTAGATAGAGTCAAATGTTTCTCTGACACCTCCTGTTATGAGAATGAGGACAAGGCTTCTCCCCCTCTTAACTTGGATGATGTTGCTGTGATGTGGCGCATTTCTCATAATGGGACAGAAGCATTCCTGCTGTACAAATTTAAAATGCATATTTCCTTGATTTATTATCACTCACTCATCTTACCTTTGTTCTAAAGTTTGTGTAAGTCATACATATATATTATGTGTGATATGTTATAAAAATGCAAATAAAGCTTTTAAACAAAGTGAATAAAACTCTGGTCCTCTAGACATTCACCTTTAATATATATCATGAGTCCTTTCCTTCCTATTTATTTGCTTATATTTGATAATCCACACACTTGTCAACAAGGAACCTTTTATTAGTAGTATGGTTGGCTTAAACGCTTGACAAGTTGGAAAAGGTGGTTGTACACTGGAGAACTGAATATATTCTTTACTGACTTTAAACATAACTAATTTCTGAATTAAGTCTCAGTGTGCAACATACTAGCCTTCATCTGGGCAAGTGGGTTGTCACTTCATTTACATCCTAAGTACTGAGCATCAACAACTCTTACCAAAGTCTATGGGAATATTTGGGAGTTCAGCACCTGTCAGGGTTGGGCTTTAATGCATTCCCAGTTTCCCCCACAGATGCCTACTCTTACATTTGTACTTTAAAGTAATTTATACTTCCTTGATTTTTTTGGTGGTGTTTTGCGTTTTTTTTATGTCACAATATGATTAAAATTAGGGCTACTTCAGAATTCTGTATAGCAGATATTTAGGGAACTAAATAAAAATCCTGGAAAGTTTTTTAAAATGTCATGTGTTATTTTTAAAATTGAAAAAACATTTAACATTGCCTTAATGCATTTAAGGGCAAGTAGAGTGACAGTCTGTCACTCAAATCCACCAAAACAGTGGACCGCAGAGATGGATGCAAAAACCAATCTGCCAGTCATCCTATTAAAGGAGATGACTTTTTTATGAGACAGCCAGAATTAGTGTGTTGCATCATTATGTCATTCAAAACATTAGTCCAATTATGTTACGTAATTTAAATTGATGAGCCTCTTCAAGGCTACTGTATTATATTATTGAATTTTTCTGTACAAAAAGTATGGGGAAAATAAAAAAAACCTCCCCCAACTTTAATAATACTGTACTCTATCTTAGACACTTGTACTTTAGTTGATGTGTACTCTATGTATATTTTTATAGGTATTACCAATGAGTGATAGTTAGTGTACAGAAGTCTGGGAGGAAAAACAAATGCAGTAATAGGAAATCTTTTTGCTATTGAAAGAAACTGATTTGAAAGCTGATTTTTCTGAAATATAGACAGCTAAAATAACACTATCCAATGCTTACATATGTCTTAATTGTCTTCTTCTCATTATGCTTCCTGTAATTGTCATGTGTAAGTTATTTTTTTTTCTACTTGTATCCTTTTTCAAAATGCTACAAATATAACTCAGTAATTAATTTTATAGTCAAACCTTTATTTCAGGTTCCTGTGAATGATCCTTATGCATGTGCTTCCTTTATGGGGCTGAAACCTTCTACTACCAGAAACCATCTTATACGAGCTATGTTGGAATCTATCGCTTTTAGGTATTGAGTGCAGTCTTTCTTAATTCATTATCTTTAGGATTTCTGTTTTCCTCTCATCTAATTATTCTGTATTTTGGTCACTCAGTGTGTGAAATCAGATAATCACTTGTTACATGAATGCATGGACTTCAGCAATTTATAAAATGCTAACGGTGGTAATTTATTATATTAATTGACACTGACAGGAAGTTTTGTATATTTATCAGGGGTTACTGTTTTTGTTAACAACTGACCCAGCATAACAGTTCTCAAATTAAAATGGACTTGGCCCTTCTGCATGTCCAAAATCTGTCTTCTACCTGACATTTGCCCTTATTTCCTCACTACCTTTATGTGGAAAGTAAGCCTCTTTTCACTCTCAACCTATTTTAAGTAGGCATGAAGTTGGAGGCTGCTGGGTTAATTTTTAGGTCCTCCTGTATAACATAGTGATAGGCATTTTAAAAATACATAAGAGAGACAGAAGATACATTAGCTGCTGAATTGGGGTATGTGTCTTTTGCATACATGGAAAGCTGAAAATCTCATCCAAAGAGCTGGCAAAGAAAGCTTCAAATATATCTTTTCCTTTCAGATGTATGTTTTTCCCTATAACTATTAGGGTAAGTTAAACTACTTCTTTGAGTGATGGTCCTTATGTGTGAGTATTCCACATATTAGTGCTCATGTGCGCTGTGAGCCCAAGTCTGGAATTTCTTCAAAGCCGTGTCCATTGACCTGCACAGGCACAGTAACTCTACTTGTGCTCCAGACCACGGGTATCAGAGGTAATGTGGGTTGACGCCTCCCAGTTCCTACTTATCACCGCATGGCCTGAGTTGGAATTATGTCCTCCTTCACTATTGCAGAATCTGTAAAATGTAATGGTAAATAGTTTATATCATAGCTTAGGAATTCTAGTTAGTATCTAGTTTAGTATAGAATAGAATATCCCCGCCCTCACTCCCCAGTTGGAGGGACATCCTCCCTGATCCCAGGACTATGCCCAGGATCCCAGGATTCAAGAACTCAGTCTCCTGACTTACTCATCCTCCATCAGCAATGAGCATCATTGGTGCCTCTACTGTCTGGGTGAGGTACATATCTCTGTGAAGTTCATTATCTGTAAATCCTTCCCACCCAGAACTAGAGAGGCCAAAGAGCTCCGATTGAAAAAGTTCCTTATGGAAGAGGCTCGGTCTGACTCAAGCCTGGGAGACCCCCCTGTACTAGCGGACTAGCAGTGCCCCTCCAAGCACAAGCCTGTGCAGCAGGACTGATCCCTGCAGTGGACTGTCCAGAAGAAACTTGTTTCCTCTCCAAGCCAGTGCAGGTTGGGTGAGATGTCGCATATGGGACCCGCGGAACCAGCTCCACTGAAGACTCCCAGGCTGGAGGATAAGGCACAGAAAAACAGGGACCTGCTGGTAACTGCAGGACCAGGGGGCAAAGATAAACGCTCTCCAGTCCCATCTCTGAGAGCAAGTCCAGATTCATCATTGGTACCCCCTTGTCAATACAAAGACCATCAGGCCATGTCCGACAAACCAGAACCTTTGGGTGAATGTTGGAACTCCTCAGACTTTGGGCTCTAGGGAGACCCTTGTAACACCAGATAACTTCCTTCCCTATATGCAGTCTCCACTTTTGGCCCTGCCCTCCTAAGAGATGTCTTTACCTCAGAAGAGGAACTGTTACCATTATCTCAGGAGAGATCCCATCTCCATCCATTCAGCAGGAGCATCTTGGTACCAACCAATGGAACCGTCCTCAAAATCAGAGAAGATAGCTGCACCAGTATCTCTGTGAAGACACGGGAGCCCTGACAGACAAGGCATTATTTCCTGTTGTGACGGGGCAAGGCCAGATGGCTATAGAAAAGTAGTGGGAGATAGATATATTAGCTCCAGGCTAAACAAATCCCTGGTACCAGGTTAAGTGAAATGGAAACTGCTCCAGGTCAGTTAAGACACCTGGGGCCAATTAAGAACTTTCCAGAAGGCAGGGAGAATGCTAGGTTGATTGGGTCACCTGAAGCCAATCAGGGGCTGGCTGAAACTAGTTAAAAACCTCCCAGTCAGTCAGGTGGGTGTGCATGTCAGGAGCTGTGGAAGGAAGTTGCGCTGTTGGAGAGGCTGAGTAGTACACACCATATCGGGCACAAGGAAGGAGGCCCTGAGGTATGGGTGAAGTGGAGCTTGAGGAAGTGAGGGCTGCTGTGGGGGAGTGCTATCACCCTCATATCGGGTAAGTTGGTAAAAAATAGTCAGCTGCTACAAGCAGCTGTGACGCGTAGCAGTGACGTGCATGCATGGGGCCGTGAGCCATTGTCCCACCATCCCAGTGGAGATAGAGGTTCAGGGAAACCCCATTGAGGTGACCGTGGGTATAGTTCCTAAACTTCCATATCCTGTAGTCATTGGGAGGGACTGTCCAGGGTTTGATAATTTACTTCCCCCAGAGAGGCTGGAGGGAGGTGGGGACCCTGAGGACAGCAACTCGTCACCGGGGGAATGTCAACCCCCAGTGTTCGCTGAGATTTCTCAGGATCTGTTCTCAGCCCCCTGAAAGACCCGGAAGACAAAAAAAGAGAGGAAGGCTGCGAAGGCCTTGGGAACCCGGATCCTGACCCAGGGCCAGAAGACCTCCCTAGTAGGCAGATGGACGCGAGCAGCCAACAGAGAAACTTCCACCTCAGAAGATGAGCCAGAAGCTGCCCCCAGCCATGACGGCGGTGATCCGTTGGAAGAAGCAGAAGCCGGCCCCTGGGAGCTTGGGCAGGTTAGTCCCGGGAGAGAGACTTTTGGGCGGGACCAGGCAGAGGACCCCAGCTATGATCACGCCAGGAAAGAGGTGGCCAAGATCGATGGGATACCCGTGGATGGGAAGGTCCGGGGTCCCAGACCTTACTTTACAGTGAAGAAAGATCTCCTGTACCGCGTGGTGCACATGCAGGAGCAAGAGATACAACTACTTCTGGTGCCACGAAAACATCAAAAAACCATATTGAGTCTCGCCCACAGTCACCTGTTTGGAGGACACCTAGGGGTAGAGAAAACCCAGGCACAGATCCTGTGGAGGTTCTTCTGGCCAGGAGTACATGAAGATGTCCGGCGATACTGCACCTCTTGTCCGGACTGTCAGTTACATAGCCGTTGCCCGCACTTGCGGGCTCCTTTGATACCTCTTCCAATAATAGAGGTTCCTTTCGAACGGATAGCCATGGATCTGGTAGGGCCCCTGGAGAAGACAGCTCGGGGCCACCAACATGTGCTTGTTGTGCTGGACTATGCAACCTGGTACCCAGAAGCCGTTCCCCTGTGCAACACAGCTTCCAAGACAATAGCTAAGGAGCTAGTACAGATCTTTACCCGGGTTGGGCTACCGAAGGAAATATTGACTGATCAAGGGACACCTTTCATGTCCAAGTTGATGAAAGATCTCTGTTCGCTGCTCCATGTACAAGCCCTACGGACCTCTGTATACCACCCGCAAACAGATGGCCTTGTGGAAAGGTTCAATAGGACCCTCAAGGCCATGATCAGGAAAGTGGTGAGCCAGGATGGGAAAGATTGGGATACCTTATTGCCTTACCTCATGTTCGCCATCCGGGAGGTTCTGCAAGTCTCCACGGGTTTCTCTCCATTCGAACTACTATATGGGCGCCACCCTCGGGGCATATTGGATATAGCCAGAGAAGCCTGGGAAGAGGAGCCAAATCCCAGAAGGAACATAGTTGAGCATGTACTGCAGATGAGAGATCGGATAGCCCGAGTTACGTCCATTGTATGGGAACACTTGGAGAGAGCACAGAAGACCCAACGAACCCATTATAACCACCAAGCGAAGCTTTGATGGTTCCAACCAGGGGATCGGGTGATGGTACTGGTGCCCACAGCAGAAAGTAAACTGTTGGCCCAGTGGCAGGGATCCTATGAAATAATCAAAGCCGTGGGAGAGGTGAACTATAAGGTGCGGCTGCCAGGCCTCTGGAAATTGGAGCAAATTTACCACATCAATCTTCTAAAACCTTGGCATGATCGAGAGGCATGCTTAGTCATACAGGAGACCCTTCCCCGGGAGGATAACTTACACGAGCAAGTGAGGATATCATCCGCCTTGACGCCGATCCAAAAGATCGAGGCAGCTGACATGATTAATTGCAACAGAGATGTGTTCTCTACAAAACCAGGGCAGACGACTGAGACCTATCACCATATCTGCACGGTCCCCAGAGCCAAGGTAACATTGAGACCCTACCGAATCCCAGCAGCCAAAAGAGAAGAAATCAAGGCCGAAGTAAAGAAAATGTTAGAATTAGGGGTTATTGAAGAATCTTAGTCAGTGGTCCAGTCCAGTTGTTCTAGTGCCTAAACCTGACGGTACCATGAGATTCTGTAATGACTTTCGCCGACTGAATCAAATATCCCAGTTTGATGCATACCTCATACCACGCATCGACGAACTGGTTGACCGACTGGGTAGTGCCCGATTCTTGACTACGCTGGATCTGACAAAAGGGTACTGACAGATTCCTCTGACCAAAGAAGCTAAAGAAAAAATAGCATTCTCCAACCCGGATGGGCTATTCCAGTACACCATCCTCCCTTTTGGGCTACATGGGGCCCCAGCCACATTCCAGCGCCTCATGGATAAGCTGCTGCGCCCCCATACTAGTTATGCAGCTGCATACCTAGATGATGTCATCATCTATACGCCAGACTGAGGAACCCACTTGGAGAAAGGTGAGGCAGTACTGCGCACCTTAAGGCGGGCTGGCCTCACTGCTAATCCCGCTAAATGTGCCATAGGGCTAGCAGAGGCTAGGTACCTGGGATATATTATGGGAAGGGACATAGTGAAGCCCCAAACGAATAAGCTAGAGGCAATTCAAAACTGGCCCTGGCTGACCCGAAAGAAGCAGGTCCGTGCGTTCCTAGGCATGGTAGGCTACTACCGACAGTTTATTCCCCACTTCGCCACTAGGGCAAGTCCCCTAACAGACCTGGTGAAGGCCCGAG